TCCTCCCGCCCAGCAGACCGATATCATGGTATGCTGTATCATAATCAGAAGCTGGTAGATCATACCACTGGAATTGTAGACAAGAGGGACAGCCATCAGTAGCACATCGTGGGGTTTCCATCGTTGCCAAGCACGGGGAGGGGGGGGGGGGAGGGGGGGATGGGGGAAGCGTCAAAACATCGTCGTACGCATACGCGCATGTCATCACAAGAAAAAAGAAGATGGTGTGCATGCACATATTCAAGATTCTCGATCCCAGCCGGCACATTCGCCAACGGATATCTGTACAAGTGTCTTCAGACTTGCCTCCAAGGGCTTGTCGGCGTACAGCAGGCGAGCACATACATCGCATACGCCAAGATCAATTTTAACTTTGGCCAAGGCTCTCATTCAACATGTGGTTTTTCACTACATCAAGTACGATTGGGACTAGGATCAGAGATAGTTGTTGAAAGGAGACTGAGGTTGTTTTTTACTCAACGTTTCTTCTGTTTGTTTTTTCGAGGGGGGGGGAGGTATTTTCTTAGCCCAAAAAATTATTTGGGCTTCTTACGCGGAGGAAAATGCCAATTTCCCAGAGCCCAAATTCTCACAGACCGCATGTTTCCAAGGATTCCAGCTGGCGATTAAGAAAATAGGCCCATTTTCTCAGTGGATCGGCTGATCTTTTCCAGCTAGGGAAAGGGAGGGCGTCACACCCCGATCGTGCCAGAACGAGGAAGTACACCGTCTGCTGCCCAAACAGAGGCCAGTATCGTGAGGTCATGCACAAACCCTCTGCAGGCCTTTCAAATCCAGCCCATTCTGCGTCTAGTTGGCCGCACACGAGCCGAAATGCCCAACACTGCCACATTGCTCTGCTGATGTTCTTGCCTTCCGGCCGAAAAGAGCCGTCTTTGTGCCTGCTGCATGTGTGACCAGTCAAAGGCACATGGCAGAGAAAGGCTTTGAGCTGACGACATCCACAAACTGCAGCCAATGGCCTGCTGTCATGCACATACCCTCTGCTCGCGTCCCAGAAACAGAGCGTATTGTCCAGCTTTGATTGCACACGGCCTGCAAACGTGAATCGACAGTAGTGTGTTTCGGTGTTGAGTTTTCGGACGTTGCCTTTTTTTCTGGTTGGTCTGCCCCTGGTAACCTCGAAATCGCTATTCGCAAAGTCATGAGTTCGAATCCGCATGGGGTGAAAAAATTACAAGTTTGCGTGTGAAAGCGAAAAAGCTGAAAAGCTCGTGAGGAACAATTTTCGACGTTGGCAATGTTGAGCGAAAAGGGACGGCTGGACCCTTCTCGCGATAAATAACAATATTCAGCACGCACCGCAGGAGGGAGGTGAGGCACGAAAATAAAAAATGAATGAAGGGACGAAAAAAGGCCCGGTGTTTCCCCCTCCTGTGTGACCTTGATGGTTGTAGTTGTACGAAAAAATACACTGAAAAGTGCATTACTCTACATACACTGCTACGTGTGAATACTCGTCTCACCACGAAAAATGAGGGGACTGTCGCTAAAATAAATAGGACAAAAACACAACACACATACAAACACACACATAAGTGTGCACCCATTTCCATATTCTGAAGATTTTCCGGGGGGTAACGGTAGTCTATATCGTACGTAAATCATAGCGGCCCCGCGGTGGGAACCTATTTTGGTAGGGTACCTATGTACCACCCTGCATTGTCTCTTGCGAACTCCCAATCCATGATACTGAAAATAAAACGGTTATTCTACTTACGTAGCAAATCAACAAAGCACCTAAGCTGCTCAATACATGCGTGAAAGTCACCACTAGTTTCATAGCAAATCATGTTTCCCCCAAACATACGCATATGTATGCGGCTGGCGTGAAGGGCGCTCTAAGCCCCCAGAGAAGCAAACACATAAGAAAAAAAACGGTCCTCCGGGGTGAGGGGGGGTAAGTGGGCGTACTGTAATGTTTTGCAAGCCTTCGCGGTTAGACCATTGACCCACGCGTCCTCGAAAAGACGGAGCATTGTTCTCAAAGGACCGATCACCGATGGCCAATCGTTCCTTCCTACTTTGCCAAAGGTGCCTCAAAAATGTCTTCCCTAGTCTATCTGTCCTATCGGTGTCACTTTCCGCCTTTTCAACCCACTTCCTATGCCCCAGTACAGCTATCTTCTCATCTTGGCTTCCATGCCTCAAACATCTCCTCCCTGTACCTTCCCTCTACATTTTCAAGCTCAGTCATGTACACTTCCCTCTCCTTCTTGTACGACCGACATTCCGCGACTACATGAACCCGGTCTTTGCACTCTGAGCCGCAATCACATTTATTTGAACTTGTCGTCTTCATCGTCTACCATCCTACATCTTCGTCTACATTTCGAAGGCCAACGTTCCCGGTCCTGAAATTGACGGATTCTGTTTTTCTCTCTCGGCACAAGCAACAGATATCGTCTCCTTGAACCATTGTAGACCCTCCGTTTCCAGCGGTTCACCTTCGTCAATTTCGAACCCGTTCCATACGCGTCACCTACAACCTTGACCCACTCCGTGGGTGTCTACCCCTCTTCCTGTTTGCCCACTCCGCCTCTCAAGCTATCCTTGGCAACCTCTCCTCTCCCATACCGCGCATACTGCCGTGCCAGCTTCCTTTCGTCTCTTCCCGACCGTAGGGATCGGATCCCCAGTTCTGCCCTCCTGGCGGCTGCATTACTTGTGCGCTTGGATCATCCTAGGATGATTTTCGCTGCGTTCATCTCGGCCGCCTCGAGCTCTTTGACTCCTTCCTTATTTCCTTCCCATACTTCTCCGGCGTACTCTAGCGGCGGTAAAGATTACGCTCTTCAAAGCCGTCAATTTGATGGTCCTCCGGGGTGGGGAGGTACAGTACCTGTCGGTGTGCCGGATGACGTTTTCACGTGCACCCTATTTCTTACTTGTAGTTCGTGAGTGTCGGTCACCGTTAGTTTTTCTTAATGCCTTATGCAAATCATTGCTTTCACACATCACGAGCTACTCTGGGACCCGAAGCCATAAATAATAATAAAAAAAACATGGGTTCGGGCATACAAAATAATGGTAGCTGACCCGCCCAATCAACATGCGCATGTATATACGTGAGACTTCGTCACCACAGCAGTATGTAGTGCAGTGCCGGCCCGCTCGTAAGAAAGACAATCGTAAGAAATCGAGGCTCAGAGTTTTGAAAATGTAAAAAAAAGCGTTTAAGAAATTGGCTCATTTGGCGGAGATTGAAAAGAAATGCAACAATAAAGATTGTAGCAAATTCGATTTCCTACAATAGACACAAGAAAAAGAGGACTTAAAATTAGCCGCAGGAAACAAGAAACGGCCTCCTCCGTGCGCATACGACGGGCGGGGGGGCTTAGAATATTTATCGCGGCAAGTAGGGTGGGTCTCCTTGAGACGGCGTCGACGGAAACGCCGTTTATAAGAAATTGTGCAATATTTGCATGGTGAAAAAATAACAATAAACAAAATATGGCGAAAATAAGAAATTGTGCAATTCTCATCGGAAAAAAATAAGAAATTATATGACAGACATCGGAAATTCAGCTCACTCACATGTATGGTTGCGGCAATAGATTTGAGCCTCGGCTGAAATAGGTGTTTCTTACGAGCGGGCTGGCACTGTAGCACACGAGGTGCCCCCCCATATGTGACTTGCTAAGTGGGGCCAAAATTCCAAGGGAAACGCATAGTAAACTGCAGTATGTCGTAGTAGTAGAAATCGAAATCTAAAATATGTATGCGGTGTAGTGGAGGGTAGCTTGCGGCCCTCCGAGTGTCCCTGCAAGCTTTTTCCTTTATGCATCTTCTGGACCTGCAGCATTTGCATCGACACCAACCAATGCATACAGCAGTCTTCATCCCTGCCATCTGTGAATGAATATTTTCAATCCGAACAGGCCCCGTGATTGAAGAGGTGCTACGGTGAATAAGTTGTCTCAAAATGCCTCGTGGATCGTCACGTGTCGGAGATTTCTGCTAAGGTCTACCTGGGGCCGCTCGAGGTGTAAATACAAGACGCTGCATACGACTATTTAACATCAGTAAGCAGTATCGCCGCAAACATAGTCCATTTGACAGGTCTACAAGCCATCCAGAACATCAACATCAAATATTCTTCTTAAAAGGTGGATGGTATGCATCATCAGCTGGTACGCACAACACATAGTCTCCCGAGTTTTATCAAAAACCACATGTACACCGCACAGCTGGAAATCTCCGAGACCAAACTGTCAGGTTGTTACAAGTTACGGCGACGGGTTTGAATACAATTATAAAGGTGGATTACCCATGCATCCGCACACGCACAGCACTGGGTACGAAGACCTACAGCAGTAGTGGCAGTCGCAGCAGCACTGGGAGTCCGGCTTCACAAGGAACTCCTGCTGTAACGTACATCCATCGTTCGTCCCAACAACCAACTAGGACGGTACTTATTTTTCCTTAATTATTAGGAGCTCTTTTGGGAGCACGCCATGCAAGCACGCGTCAAAGTTGTCAAAACTCGACGCACCTGAGCCAGTGGCTGAAGAAAATAAGGAGCTTCTTGATCGACTTGCGCCTGACGATCCACGCCGATGTCACGGACATGGTGATCAGCGTGCACAGCACAGTGTTGGGGGTCCAGGCCGCTTCTCCCGGCTGAAGTCCCGCAACCACGAAGCCGGTATCGCACCTGAGGGTGAACATGTCCGCAAGAGCAGCTTGCTCCGCGGGGCTCTGGCTGGAGGCCAGCTCCGCCAGAGAAGAAGGTGATGGAGACGCCATGCACGTAGATTCCCCGTACAGGCAGCCACCCGCTGTCCGTCCAGTGCCTCGCCAATGGTGCTATCTGCAGCAGTTGCTAGGGAGACCCGAAATATGGTGGCAGGGGCACCTGGCCAGTGCGGTGGATAGGACGGTACACAGCTTGCTGAGTGTGGTGCGGTCGGTGAGGGGTATGCATATGCAAGTTGTTCCGGGGGAATCTGAGAGTTTGGATGGGAGATACTGTAGCTGAGCGGTCGGAGATACATACATATTAATTGTACATACAATCCCGGCGTAAGCGAACTTTTCTTGCAAAGTGAGTTTTTCTCTCGCTTCCGCTCCTGACCTGGTGGACAGCGCTGCATAGGTCGTGTGTACACAGAGGGAAGTGAGTGCTGAACTCTTCTCGCACTAAAAACCGAAGGCAACGTACCGCAGGAGGGGAGGGTAGAGAGGGGCCCTTCTGTGTGTGACCACGGGTTGAGTAAACGGCACTACTGCTGTAGTGCCGTGAGCGCTGATTTGAAGTTACAAAAAAAAAAAAATGCATGTATGAGAGACGAAGAGTTACTGGTATGTTGGTGCGCACATCGGAACAAAAAAAACATACTATTACGGTGGCACAGAAGTAATGGGAGCAAATCAACAGATATGCGTTTCGGCTTGTAACTTTCGCAATACGATGCGCAGCACAGCATACGATAGCACAAATTGACGACAGGGCAAAGGCGGTCACAATGAAAAAATAACAAAAAAAAAATATTGAAAGTTGCTTGAGATATGGCTTGTCATGTATCCGAACAGAGATTCGAAATCGGAAAAAGTGCGCAGAAAAATCCGGCCAACATGTATCCCCACTTGTCGGCCTGTACCTCATTTTTTCAAGCGCCTGTCGGCATACAGTAGCGTAACACGCTTCCATGACGGAAGGCGGTCAATACGCAAGAAGATAAACATGAATGCAGATGACGTGTGGCAAGCTGCATCCGGGGTAAAACTTGTTGACATTTGAATAATTTGGATTTTTTTTTCATAACTGCAGCAGCTGGAAGCAGGGACGCAACCCCCGCTCACAGCAATCACATATGTGTGCTGCTGGAACATGGCACACCCAGTGCATGGGCGTGTAGCAATCGATCACAAGACTGGAAAAAATCTTATCATGGTTCAACCTCGTCGCTGCCATCACCCCATTCTGCGCTTTCCTGCTGGATCTGCTCCCCTACCCCTTCCTCGACATCACCCACGGGCGACACATCATCTTTGTCGTACCCGTCCGGTTTCTGCAGGTTGCCTATCTTACCCGAAAGCCCTGCATCACGATCCCTGACCCACTTATTCATCTCTCCAATGGCGTGTTCAACCAGCTTCGAACAATTGGCTGCCTTCCACCCCCCCTCCTGGCCTGACCACTCCTTGTCCCCGTACCAACCTTGACGAATCTGCACCCACACCTCCCGCATCTTTCGCTTCAACTCAAAGTTAAGGCTGACGTACTGCTTGCCATGCTGCCAAAAAAGCTCGATAGGTTGAAAGGACGGCATGTAGGGCGGCGTCCAAATCAACGCCCACCCCTTTTTCTTCATGAATGTCACCACCCGTTCCTCGAGCCTTTCAGGGTAATTGAGGCGGATGTACTCCCGAGTGGCCGTTGCTACCTCCGCTCTGCTTACACCGCCCTCTCTGTTCCCTGCAGGGAATGAGGAACCAGGCTCTGACGGTACCTCGAAGTTGTGCTCAACAAAGCCCTGTTCGCCCTCCTTACGTTTAACCCTGATCGACTTGGCCCCAAACTTACGCAACAGATCGACGTTGTGCTTCTTGGTGTTGGTTTCCGGCACTTTGACTTCCGCGTCAAATCCATGGTGGTATGAGGCGTTGTCAAGAACAAGAATCATCTTCTTGCCTTCGAACTCAGGGATCGCGTTGTACGCTGGACTAAGGCGGTGTTCAAGCCACTCCATGAACATCGAGTCTGTCATTGCTGCGTGGTAATCGCCCTTTGCCAACTTAGCCTGCCACAGAAACTCTGCTGTCTCCTCATCTTCCATTTTCTTCTTGCCGCTACCCGTTTCCTTGAACCAGCCCTCTTCGATCGGAAACCCATCACAAAACTTAGCCAACGGCCCCCATTTCGTGATTGCATGCACCATGATCATGCGCAAGCCCTTCCCCGTTGTGCGACCAATCCCATCCTGCACAACTCCATTCTCGTCCGAGGGAAAGTAAGAATACGGGGAACCATGAGCCTGGTGGACAAAACTCTCATCCATGTACACGATCACTGCTAACCCAGCATCCTCTGCCCTCTTTGCCATGTCCATCTCAACAAGAAACCGACGAATGCGAGCAAGTCTTTCGGCGTTCAACGGCGGCGTTTTGATCCTGCCTCTACGACGCTTGTAGCCGAGCCTACTCAGCAGCCCTCCTACCGAACGGTTGGACGGCTGCTCCATGTTGCAAGTCCTGTGCACCCATTCTGCCACCGTGCGGCGAAAGACTTGACGACCGGCCTTGTGCTCGTCGTTGATGAACTCGCGAAGTTGATCTGCTTGTACTTCGGTGAGGCGGCGTCGCCCATCATCCTCCTTTGCCATCTTGCCTCTCCCCGCGGCGGTGGTCTCGTACAACTGGCGGTGATCCCACCAGTGGTTGTTGATGCGCCTGACCTTGTCGTGGCCGATCTTGAAAGTGCGCGCCACCTGCCAGCATAGAGATGTCCAGAGAAGAGAAAATATTGCAACATCGTTCATGAATGAGGTCAGTTCACTTGGACATTGTACAGCAGTGAGACATCGCACATTCAAGCCTGCTCGTCTGCTGTAAAGCACTGCTGTGAAGTACTGCTGTACAGCAGTACAATGTATTCCTGCTGAATATGTGTGTGACATACACTGGTGAGTCAAACATGTACCGAACGGCACACGCTCGCACCCAACATACATAAGACGAAAACACACAAACCACACATGAGCATACTGCTGTTGTAAACAGCAGCAAAAACAGGGTGTACCGCACATATTCCGGAGTGTACATTCAAACACAGACACCGTTACCCCTCTTTGATGAAGATGAAAATTTAAAAAAGGTATCGGCCTGCTGCTGTGCCGCACCATCCAACCTTCACTGCTGTGTACTGACCTGCAACACTGCCTCGTTCTCAGAGCGACCTTCCTTGCGGAGGTCGAAGAGTAGCATGAGGACCATCCTTGACTGCAAGTGGGTCCAGACCTCGCCCTTCTTCGGCTTCACCTCGTGCACAGATGTGTCCATGTAGTTCAGGTCCTGAGCCACCTTCTCCGCCGCAGCAGCAGCTGCCGCTTCGACGCGCTCAACCTCTTCCTGCTCACGCTTTTCCCGCTGCGCAGCGGCGCGCGCCGCTGCCTCCTCCTTCTTGGCGAAGGCCGCCTCCTTCGCTCTAAGCGCTTGCTCCTTCGCTCTGAGCGCTTGCTCTCTCTGCGCCATCTCCGACGCGAGTGCTGCACGCTCCTGCTCAAGCTTAGCGCTGCGTCTGTCCAGGGCCAAAGCATCTCTCGCCGCTGCCGTCTTGGCTCTCTTTCTCGCCTTCGTCTCGCGTCCACCGACACCGCCGGTGGGCTTGTTCCTGCCCTTCGGTTTTGTCATCGGCCGAAAGCTGGGAGGCCCCTCTTCCAGCGTGCGGTACTCGACAACGGCTGCGTTGTTTCAAAAGCTGGTCTGATGGTCCCGCGCGCCAAATCATAGGGTTTCCAAAAAGTTCTACCTGCGTTGCTATTTCTTCGTCATTTTTTTTTTTTTCGCCTCCCCACATAAAAATATAGTCAAAAAGTACCCATATATCGCCGGCCACTGCTGTACCGTGTCGTCATCCGATGAGAGCAAGACCAGGCTCATTTGAAAGCTGTGGTTGCCGTCTTTCATTTGATGTGTGGTAGGTCTACTGACCTAGCTTTACTGTGTATATAAAGGCTTTGGACCATAATGTTCGATTCCTTCGATTGAAAAAATATTGCGTACACGCCCTGTTCAGAAAAAAAAATTTCGCCGGAAAAAAGCAAAAATTTGCTCTCAATTTTTCTGTGCCACCGTAATACTGCTGTATTGCGTATTGCTGTGTGCAAATAATACCGGTCGCCTCGGTGGTCTAGTTGGTATCCACGAAACCTTCTAGATAGAGGTCAGGTCAGGGGTTCGAATCCCGGCGTAAGCGAGCTTTTCTTGCAAAGTGAGTTTTTCTCTCGCTTCCGCTGCTGGCCTAGTGGATAGCGCTACAGTAGTTCGTGTGAACACAGAGGGAAGAGAGTGCTGAACTCTTCTCGCATTGAAAATCGAAGGCAAAGTACCGCAGGAGGGGAGGGTAGAGAGGGGCTCTTCTGTGTGACCACGGGTTGTAGTAAGCGGCACTAGTAGTGCTGTGAGCGCTGATTGATTTGAAGTGAGACAAAAAAATAAAAAAATAAAAACAAACAAAAAAAATAATAAATAAGCGGGGAGTTAGTTTGACCCCACCAAGATGCCGCCGCTTTACTTGTTTTTTGACGCGTATAGGATACACGGATGCTCCGTTGTGTCACACACACCCGTGATGGCGTGGCCGACCCACAACCAACCCCTATGCATATATCGTACCTCTCACACAAACTACTGTATTCTACGTAGAAGTCAGTATTACAGTTGTTGTATATTATGTACCATCGCTATCTATCTGTAGACTAAAACAACAGTTTGTAGGCCGCAGTTGTTGTAGTTGTTGTGGTCCTTTTTCAAAACGAGCTGTTGTTGGTTGTTGCAGTCTCCGGCTCGTTCACGAGGAGGGAAACCAAGGCACACAAGATACTGCGCGCCGTGTCTCGTGCCCAGCCCGGCCGCGACCGTGGCGCAGTGAGCGTGATAGGGGGTGCCGGCGCAACCGGCTGCGGTACACAAAAAATAGGTCAAATCGTTTTTGGGGATATAGCTACTACTGCTGTGCTGCTATCTATGTGGTCGTGTGGTTTGTTTTAGAACAACCTCACGGCTACCAATCCAGTGTTCCCCTTTATCGTCGAGGGAGACCGAGGCACAAAAGATGCTGCCCGCCGCGTCTGGCGCCCGGCGTGGCCGCGGTCATGGCGCGGTGAGCCTCCGGAGGCGGCGGCGCAACCGGCTGCGGCACAAAAAATGTCAAATCGGTTTTGTACACACTGCTGTGCATACTGAACACTGCTGTGCAGACGAACAGAAGAAGGTACAGCAGTATAGTACCTGGCCAGAGAGAACGGAACGGACAACAACAACAGCAACACCTAGCTGTGTGTGACCAACGGACTGATTCTTGTGTTGTTGGTTGTCTTCACATTAGAACTACCCTACCTTCTGTCACTTTTTTCCGATAAGTTAATAATACACACATACATGTGATCGGGTAAGATGTTGTTGTCGTTCGTCCTCTGTGGTCCAGCAACACTCATCATTTATTTACCTGTCTGTGCAACGGATACAGAGTTTGAGTGTGCAGCAGTAGATAAGTGCAGGTAAAAACAGGCCTGGGTTAGCCCGGCTCCCGTCTGAAGGTGCTTGCCTAATATTTATTCTAAATTTTAGGATAATAGGGTTCGCAACAAAGAGTAGCGCAGACGGGCCCCAAACAAGGGGCTTCAGAGTGTTCATCCTCGCTGAGGTGTGGAAGCAATATGTTGCGAGCGGACACATGCGTACGTGGTGAACGAACATATGACACGGTGGTGGCAGTCTCCCGGCCTCAAAAGCAGCGGCTGTTTGTGACATTTTCGACCGCAATATTGTGGGTGTCTCAACACGATCTTGAAGAGAATCGCGACGGCCTCAAACGGTTGTTGTTCTCTTTTTCTCACCCAAAAACGTTTTCGTGGCCAGAACGTTTACCGGCAATAATACCCCCCACATCATATCATCTGACTTCGATGGCGGGAGAATCCGAGCACCGTCAAGGCGAAAAGGGAACAGTACTATTCCTATAAAAGACACGTTCCCAACAAGCGTGAGCGCAGCACCGCTGCTAAGATGCTTGCGTGGGGCAAAGATTAAGATTGTGCATGAGGACATACAATGCCAATACTAAATAAATTATTATTATCTACAGAGTCGCGGAAGCTGTCCTACATACGCATGACACGAAGAAAGCGAATATCCTGTGGGGACACACGCCTTGCCCGTGCCGGCTCGAACTTGTATCCAATCCTCGACAGAGCGCTACAGCGACGGCCAATTTACTATCTCTTCTTTCAGCCTGCCAGACGCGCGCTCAGGACGGACTGAGCACCATCTGCATGCTTGCCTTCAAAACCACCGGAAAGAGAGGAAGGGCAGTCGAGTGTACAAAGCAGACTTGAACTCACCATGGACAGCAGTCTAGACCAAGTGTCAATACAACGACCTCACTACACGCCCCCAGTCCTAAAGGCCTATCCAAGGGAACAAGCGAATACGTGGGCCGTACAAATGCACCTGCTTACTAAATAAACAAGACAGAGAGCAACAGCTTTGTAGAGTTAAGTCTTGCAAGCTAACAGCGAACCGAAGCGTAGGAAATCGTAACGAGGAACTACAGCTAAGACTTCATAAACGGTGCCTCGAAGTATGATACAGGCTGCCACAGGCGTCATCTACCAAGCATGCTCGCCGCTGAAATTAACATGTAAATACAAGATACATCTCGCTTGAGACGTGCCCGGCGTCCACTCCACACGAAAAGAGCAAGCTCTAAATGTCCCTTTGTGTCAAAGCACACACTATACCTGGAGAAACGCTAGCGTCCGCGTCTACTACACACCTGAAGTCGCCACGCACACGTTAAACTTCCGATGTCGAATCAAGTACCCCCAGTACCACCGAATGTTCCCGTGACACTGCTGTTGTCGGGGGTCACAATGTCATCACCTGACGAATAAACTTAACACCACCTTCAAGGCTGCATGGGTTTGCCATGAAACCTTGCCAAAAAAATACAACAAGCTGCATCTTGGCCCCCAAGACGCGATCAAGCGGGGACACAAAGCCGGTCGCCCCGGTAGTCTAGTTGGTATCCTCGAAACCTTCTAGAGGTCAGGTCAGGGGTTCCAATCCCGGCGTAAGCGAGCTTTTCTTGCAAAGTGAGTTTTTCTCTCGCGTCCGCTCGTGGCCTAGTGGCCAGCGCTAGTTCGTGTGTACACAGAGGGAAGAGAGTGCTGAACTCTTCTCGCATTAAAAACCGAAGGCAGAGTACCGCAGGAGGGGAGGGGAGAGAGCGGCTCTTCTGTGTGACCACGGGTTGTAGTAAGCGGCACTAGTGCTGCGAACGCTGATTTGAAGTGAAGACAAAAAAAAAGCAAAAAAAAAAACGAAACCCTGATGAGGGCCAAGGGGCGGAGGAGTTGAGCGCTTCAAGGCGTGCCCAAACTACTATATATATCCGAGTCCCATAAACCAATAAACACACGATGCGGCGCATGGCAGCGCACGCAGCACACACATATGATCTGGCTTTCGAACTACAGGCCCCGTGGGTGGAACAACCCGCTTCAGCCAATCGTTCTCGACCAAGCCGCATGCTTCGACCTGTTCCTTCCTGCCCACGCCATGGACACACGCCGCGTACCCCTTCCTCCGATCAGAAAGCCAAGATCGCACCCATCCAGAGATCAATCCCACTGCGATGGAAGGTGAGTGGTAGGAGTAGTGTCATCCAACCCACCTTGCATCATATTTCGCGTTGTCCTATTATTCGAAAAGCTGACACGCTCGTTGCTCGAGCTTTCCTTTTCCACCCCGCTAGTACTTTGCAAGGCGGCGCTGCTTGATCCAGGTTTACTCGAGGTCCGACGCCCTTGAGAACGTGTTACGGAGACAGCGGCTTCAGACGAAGCCACGTCGTGGCGCTCGTCCATGTATCTTGGTGGCGCGCCCAGGACGCCGTAGAGGGCCATGGTGTCCAGTGCAATATGAATGTGCGGAAGCGTCCATGACACGACGATAAGCTGAGGCCTTGGACAGAAGGAGACGGATCAAAAAGAAGTGCAGGGCACACACGCAATAGAAGGTGGGTGAAGTGAAGGCAAAACTTGAGTTAATCGTGCCTCTTCGCAGTCACCCAGCAAGAGCCGAGAACAAGTGCCATGTACATGTACTGCTCCCGCCACAAAAGGAAGGAAAAGTACATGGCAACGTAAAACTATAATGGTGACCACCGAATAAACCGTTCGCTGTCAGGGGCAGGTACTGGAAAATTCATCGCTCCTGACGCCATCAGTTCGTGGCTACCCACGACGAGACAGGCAACGAACTATTTATTCCCATTCAAAACGAGGCCCTGGTTTTGCGCAAGACGATAAAAACCGTTGTGAACCCGACGTCATAGCATATGAGTAAATGTTCGTGCGTGGAAGTAGAGAGTCGAAAGTAGTGGTTACCAAGGACGCAGTTGGGATGTGTCTGGAGGGTATGTGAGGAGAGGCTTTGGATGATAGTGCGGAGTCCCCGTTTCCTGTCGAAGTTTTGGGGTACTCGTCGTTCTCTTTCTCTCCCCTTTGTGTCTTCTCCCTTGCAAGCTAATACACACAGTCAACAGCAACCCCAAGTCCGCCGGCCCACACTAGGGCTAGAGCTCACCAACAAGTAAACCAAGTTGCAAGGAAATTGAGGAGACCAGGAACAGGTGCTGGGCATGCTAGGCCTTGTGACCGTACAATAACAAAAAAATTTAGCGTCCTCCGATGATCGCCGACGGCATATAGCGTCAGTCTTGGCGTATGCGCGAGAATCATGTACATCTGTCATGCAGGTGAAGTATCTCGCACCAGACATGCACTGTGCAGAGAGAGGTCTCCCCGCCTCTTCCCATGCGTTGTGGTTCGTTAGTTGTGCATGCGTCATTCACGGAGCTAGAGAACAGGGGCTGAGTGGCTTCTGTTATCTCCCACTACTGTAGGTAAAAAGGATGCACGTCGTAGCCAGGCCAATTCATGTCATGTAAGACGTCACAGAACATATTCGCGATCGTCCTTTGCCTTGATAGTGTGGTTCCAAAAAGGTTCTACGCGTCATACGGTGCGGCGAAAATTACGGCACACGTTTCGTGAAACATGGAATACTCCTGTCACAGGCGGCCTATGCCCAACAGTTGTTCCCCGAATTCCCCATCCTCCCATATTCTAGTCATGGTGGCAGTACGGTCACTCACTCCTCGCGATCGCCGATCAGGTAAATCACGCCGCAAATGCCGAGAATCAGATTCACGCCCGTGGCGATGAGGGTGAGACCGAAGTAGTAGCGGATGCGGGCGTGCATCTTCCAGCACTCCTTGATCTCCGTCATCCGGAACAGCAGTAGCCAGGCCACGATGACGAACATGCAGATCCCGACGAAGAACTCGAGATAGAAGCGGGAGATGGTAATCCAGTCACTGCCTCGCTGTATCGATCAACCATCCACCGATAGCACGACAACGGAGCCACCGACCCAACATGTGAGACCGAACCAAGCGTGCCGTCCAACGCAGCGAAGTCATTGTTGGAGTTAAGGGGTTTGACCGAGGTAAACACGCAAGCGCCAGGTAGGCACCCATATGTCGATGCGAGGGTCTCCTGCGACACAGACTACTACGGATGCAATGGTCATTGCAGATGAACACCGAGGCAGTACATGTTGCTGACGGTAAAATGGAGCAAACTTCGATGGTCGTCCAACCTGGTTTTCTGTTTCCGGGAAGAACCCCGTGCCGGAAAGGATGATGAACTCCCAGAAGGGCGCGGCGGCGGCGGCCGCTCCGATGGAAATCACGAGGGACACCACGATCAGCAAGGGCGAGCTGAGGCTGTTGACACCAGGCTGTTGATCTCCATGAGACTGCAGGCGTGCCGTGTCCCCAACAGTCAGGTGAAGAGGGGACAGAAGGCCGCATACCGAGGTACCAGGCAAGGGCAACAAGGAACAGATACCACGGGGGGCAGACGGGCTTGTGTTGTTGATAGATTCTGACTATAAAACCGCGAGCGGAGGCCGAGAACAGTACGTGGCTGTGCGGCGTACCTAGTCCTGCTTTCTGTGGAAGCTTATCCAAGTGAGCCTGCGAACGGTTGGATGTCACAGAAGATGGAGGCAGCGTCACAAATGCTGTCCATCACGTTTGGGCCGTTGGGAAGTGTGCCTATCAAGATGGATCCACGAATGTCATGTTCCGACTTAAGTTGATTAAACTAATCGAGTGCGCCGTAACGGCATAACGGAAATAGCGTAGTTCGAATCAGACAAGCAACCCTGAATGATCCGAAAAACACGTGCCATGCAGGACAACCACGCACAAGAAAGCGGTCCACAGAGGCAAAAAGTTGTCACTTGGAACAACAGTCACACACAAGCAAGAACAAGGGGCAAAGGATAAACCCGCGATTTGTCTGCCACAGGTAACTGACCATGACGACGAGGGCGAGGTTCATGCAGATGGCGAGGTTGGTCATGGCGAGCATGTTCACGGACGCTAGTTCCAGGAACTTGAACGTTTTGATGAGCTTAATGAGGTTGGCTCCGGTCCAGCAGACTGATATCATGGTCGCTTGCATCACAACCAGGAGCTGATAAAACAGGCCACTGGTTCGTAGAGAGGGAGGAAACATTCCGCCGTAAGCACCAGTGGGATTTCAACGGTTGCACAGGATGAGGGGGGGGGAGGGGGTCTTCGTCAAGGTGTGGGATACGAAAACAAAACGATCTAAATGGCGTTATCATTACGACTTGCCGTCATTCAACAATCACATGGCCTATCAGCTCGGCTGGGAATCGAAAATCGACACTTTACAATGAAGCGTACCGATGGCGGCCAACAAACAACAATACTTCATACTTTAGGCACGTCAACAATGGCCAGGGAGGGATTCTCAAAATGGCTTCAAGAGTCGAGCTGAGGTTTAAAAGTGGAGTCCATTATCTGTACAGCAGCAACGCTTCACAGAAGTTGTTATATCACTGACGAGATACGGTGAGCGTGCGCGGACTCCATACATTCGCGTTCCATTGCTTCAAGCGGCAAGTAGTCTACATCGAATCGAACAGGTGAAGACAAAATGCAGGTACGACAACAGAACCCATCCACGTGTGCACATCCAGATAGTGTAGATGGATTGAAACAAGCCTGGGGTCACCGGGTGTCTGTAACACCTCTAAGCAGCCTCTAAGGCCCAGACGTCATGCAGGCTTTGGACAATAGCAAAGCAACACGCCTCAGCGAAAGGCTTCAGGAATCGCGAAAGCAGGCGATTTCTAACATATTTTTTCGCCTGGTTCCCGCACAAAAATCTGGGGACCTCTGTCATGACGTGCATGTCTCCTACCCAAAAAAAACGGTATCACCCCCCGCTGCGGGCCTACATTTTCGATTTTCGATTTGTGGGCCTAGACCATGCACCGAATACACGCGTCTTGGATTATTACGCGCAATACCATGCTGGCATTTTTCTCACAAAACACGTGCGTTTACAGTTAGCGTCCGTACATAAAGAACCTGGCAGTAGAACTCAAAATCGAAGAACTTGAGCACCATTTGTGAGCTCGGTAAGGAACCCTTGCACCAAAACCAATACAGCGGCCATTCGTAGCATGACCCTTGGAACTAAGAACCCCAGCCTCGGCGAAAACTATGTTAATAGAGGGCGGGCGCGCACTGTCATCTCTTGTACGCCAAATCCTACTACACAGCCGACGAGGGAAAGGAGTGGTTGAATCCTTCCCGCGAAGGAATCACGGCAAGCACCGCACGCAGAAGGAAGGAGAATATCCATGCAACTCCTGTGTGACCTTCCTGCTCCTGTGTTCCCGCGGCTGGTGCATGTAGAAGTGTATCAAAGGTGTACGTATACATTAAAGGCCCGCACCTCAGAACCTCTTATACTGTGGCGGAGGCTTGTCTCTTAATTCTTTTTGTCTATGGGGTACCCCCACGGCGAGAACATAGGTTTTCGAGTGGGCTTCTTGGACGTACGTACATAGTACCTGCTCTACATTTATCTTAACTTGAGGTTGAATTTCTTAACTCCCAAGTTCGTAAGGTACCGTAAGAGTCGGAGAGATGGCACCCCCGTGTTAGAGTTTTTTTGTAGCGTATTTCTCCACGACTAGGAGGGTGCGAACACCAACCGATACCTCTCAGGAAAGCCCTCGACGAGATGTTTCCAAAACTACCCTTTTCGGCAGTGGTACCCCCGTGGTTGTGGAGCAATACGCTATACACAAACGCTAACACGGGGGTGCCATCTCTCCGGCTCTTCTTACGGTATGTGCGGGCCGCTTCTGTTAAACTCTTGTGCTGTAGTACTGGAAGCCCAAGTGGGGACACTTTGGGGACACAGCAGCACTCAAATATGCCTATTTACCGCACGGTAGTACCCCCTAGGCTCCGCTGTGTAGAATGCACGTGAGAACCCTCGGTCTATCCATGCTTGGCTGAGGTGTGGTACGCTGTGTGATACATACGCTGTGTGATGCCTCTCCTGGGCCTCTGACTTGCTGTTTACATATATATATACTGTATCCCAACCCGCGTGCCCAATAAGTCGTACACCACTGCTGCTGTACATCACCTGGTACTGGCCAAATTTACTGACTTGGTTTCAGTATTAACAACAGTGTCCCCCGGTACCAGAAACTCTCTATACTGAAACCAATTCACCCTTTGTCTGGCAAGGAGGTCAGATTCACTGGAGGGCGGGAGGGGCTGCTGTAGCCCCCGGTCAATGGCTGACAACCATTTCTGCGATATACGAAGTATAGACTATTTTTTGCTCCATCGGAACTGGGTACTGCTGTAGGAGTTGGGAGGAGGGTTAGAGACTGACGGCCAGATTTTTTTTTTTTTGTCTTCACTTCAAATCAGCGCTCACAGCACTAGTGCCGTTTACTCCAACCCGTGGTCACACAGAAGAGCCCCTCTCTACCCTCCCCTCCTGCGGTACTTTTGCCTTCGATTTTTTAAGCGAGGAGAGTTCAGCACTCTCTTCCCTCTGACGGCCAGAATGGGTGGGAAAAAAAAAATGGAACCAGAAGGGGCACACTGACTTGCATTGACAGCATTTCGAAAACACTCGAGAAATATCTAGAGCCTACAGCAGTAGACAAAGTACACCACGGTGTACAGCAGTAGTTGTGAGCATGGGACCGCGCAACGCACCGGGCTCACTGACTGTCTCCAACCACCTGCGGCAAAACCTCTGGAGAGGATCTACGACAGGTCGTCTCAACAAAAAAAAAACAGTCTACGAGGGGCATTCTGAGGGTGGCATGCACATAAATGCAAATGCGTATGCATACATACACCATGCGCTGCCTCGTATCCATCCGCCCTGCGTTTGCACCAGACATCAGGGAGGGTCTCCAAGTGAAGAGTCTACCTCTGAAACAATGTCGTTGAGACCTCGCAGCGTGTTTCATAAAGAAAGAGAGGAAAAGGTTCCTCCTTCTGCTGTAAACTGAAGTCGACCTACAGCCTCGGGCACACAACCCCAGCAACCATAACAGCAACCGCCACAGCAGCAAAGAGAAGAACTGCAGCTGGTGCCGTGCGTGTATATCGCCGTCCTACAACTCGGCTGCAGTCTGCAGCCGTGGCCAGGCCAATGCGACGGCCGGTGCACATTTCGGCCGGCGCACATTCCGGCGAACGGTTCAACAGCAGCAAGAGGTGTTTCTTATACACTGCAAGCAGTATATACTTGTTCGGCGCGGGGAACCGTGAAGCAGGGTCTACAAGACACGCACACACCGCGAAGGTTCCGTATACTACATACAGCAGTACAAGCTTGATCATGACTGCGAAAACGTACGTCCGCTCCATGGGACTGATCCCTCGTCTGTCGGCGATTAATTTTCCCCCGAAAGGGTGTGTGCAACGCGCTGCCAGCCACAGCAAAAGCATGCGGTCAACATGTGCAAACTGCAGCAATACACACAAATGCCTACTGTGTAGAGTTCAAGGTGCCTCTTATCTCTGTCTCTCTGTCTCTCTCTCTGTCTCTCTCTCTGTCTCTCTCTCTCTCTCGTTCTATCTACTCCAGTAGCCAGCCGGTCCATACATGCGATGGTCGGGATGTTTCAGCTACATATTCTTCTGTAAGGCAACAAGACCAGGTACGCACATGTCAATGTAGTGGAATATGAAGAGCTGGATCTCCAATCGAGCTGTATGTGGTGGATTTCGGTGGTTTCGTTGGTAGACCCCGCTGGTTTATGCATAGCAGCTCTTACAACATGGCATCCCGTACCTGAACCAGTGGCTGAAGAACAGAAGGAGCATTTTGATGGACTTGCGCCGGCTAAACCAAGCCGAGACTACCGACACGGTGACCAGGGTGCAGAACACGCGAACGAACGTGCATTCCGGCTCTGCCTCCTGAAGACCGACAAAAATAAACCCAGTGTCGCAAGTGAGAGCGAACACGCCCGCGTCCGGAGCAGCAGCTTCCGCCGCTTGGCTCGAGCTGGATTCATATTCTCCAAGAGACGAGGACGTAGTCATGTCGATCGCATGTGCTGTTACCCGTGTATGTCGAGACAAAGAACACAGGCGACGGTGCTCGTTTGGTGGACCGGCGATTTATTGGTACGCCGGAGGAAAAGTCTGCGACTGTGACATCATGCATGCGCGCCGCACACCACAACTTGCTGTTTTTTTTTTTTTCGTCGTATACGTAGATGCATGTACCACATGTATATGGTTGACGCCAGCAGCTCCGCGCCCACACAGAGCGCTTTTACAGCCACCTTATTTCACCCCCGGCCACGATCAACGTCTAGTGCATATGCCCTCCAGCTCCACTCAAAAGAAGGGAGTACAAAGTGGCTGTCGCTCGGCGATGCACGGAAAATCGGTGACCTTGAAGGCACTCACTGCTGCTGTCTGGTCTTTGCTGCTGCGCCAACCACAATGATGGTAGAAGTACTAAATACATATACATATGAAAATAGAGTTCACGTAATAAAAGTATAGTAATAATTTTCTGTGGCCTCATCCCATCAAACGTATGCATACATACGTACGTGAGATACCACGCCCATCTGAACACGCAATGCAAGTATGCTTGGCGATGAATAGATAGTAGGGCTAACGCCGAAAGAGTATGACAAATCGCAACAACATTGATTGGAAGATACTCGTTCCATCGGGTACCGCCGCCCACTGATGATGTCGAGCAGCAGTACTGCTGTACGTGCAGCAGTACGTAGTACTGTCGCCGATTTGTTTGCGGAGAACAATATTTAGTGCAGGGATGAGTGACTGGCTCGCTCGGCGATTTCTCGTTACAATCAAAGCACACTCACTCACTTACTTCTTCTGCAAAGACATTGAAACACCACGAAACACCATCGACTACTACCCGCTCCTGATGATTAATTATCACACAGCGGGGATATGCATAGACATAGTAAGTAAGTAAAAGGTGGTAACGGTTTTTTGTGATGTTTGAACGGAAAATTTTGGGTCGGATGATTATTTGCACACCGCACAATCTCGCCTTCACCATCATCATATCGCAGGCGCACACACCACCACCACCACCGTCGTCGTACTTTGCGGGCGGCGGGCCTCTCTGAAGTCTAAAATGAAGACGCCGTAGAGAGGCTGTCAGTGGCTGATATTGTGGGCACGTCGGCCGGAAACAATACTACTTACTCCGTATAATATACATTTTTTTTGCCCTAACATAGTATTATATGTATGTATGTACGTACGAAAAAAAAAAAAACTGTTTCACTCACTCGCTTACCCACTCTCCGCCCGGAGGGACCTCCCTGCAATAGGCCTCGGCGCTTGTTCGCGTCGGACGCACCAGAGGCATGTTTTCAAACCTTCGCGTGCATTGCATGCAGTAGATTGAAAGATATTGGGAACAAGTGTCTCGTTAGACTACATAGACAAACAGCGCCGGATCCTACCTACATCCATCCAGACAGCATGAAAGTCGTCGTGAGAAATATCTACTAGTATAAAATCACAATATTTAATACTAAAATACTTGCGGTAGAGTCAATACATAAAACCATTGAACCCGAAGAATGTTTACCTCTATCGAAATACATATATCGGAAAGCACGTCCATCCCAGGACACATCCATCCCGAGGACAAATATCCGAACCCTACTACAATAGACACAATGAAACACCCTTTCCTTCACTAAAATCTAACCTAACGATAACTGAATGAAACACCTTTCCTTCACTAAAATATAACCTAGCGACATGACTGCCCGAAAGACCCCTTGCGATGCAGTCGTTAGTAGCAAACGCACGAGTCGGCGTGAATAACGAATGAAAGGCGGCGCTGTTGCCTTTCATAGAATGCACAAAATGAACAAAATTCTAGCAGTAGGCGGCTCTAATTGTAGCGACTGACCGCTGTCCACATACATTCAGACCGGAGAAGACGACGATCTACCAAGCCTGCCTACGTGCTCTAGTTGGATGAAACAACGTGGGATAGCAAAACAAACACCTTGCCTGTGTACCTGGACAAGATAGAGTCAGAGCAATGTGTGTGTGCGAGATACCGAAATATAACGCGAGAAACTAAAACGAGTAAACCCGAAAATCCTGCCCACGATGTAAGTGAATGGCAGCCTCTGCAGTACCCGCAAAGACAGCTTGCCGGGGGAATTCGACGTGTACCGTACACCATGATTCCATACGAGAAGTACCAGGCTTCCGTTCAAGACGCTAGCGATATTTCATCTCGCAACGCGAACCAGGACGATATTGACCGGCCGGCCAAAATGACTGCCATATTTTCTGATACTCCACATGAAGCCATCAAACAAAGCACGCCAAGTGCTGATTATTGGAGACAAGGCCTCTTGCCGCTACCTACCGTTGGGGCCAGACCCGCCCACTCATCAGGCGACTCAGGCTTGCAGGGCCAGCGTGTCACCAACGGGAGAATATCCACACCACAATATTGCACGTCTTCGCAACACAAAAGTACGGCAATGGGATTATCAAGACGCAACAAGCCGAAAGAGTAAAAAAACGATAATCTTCACAGTATCGAGCACCTGGAGTGAGAGCAACACGAATGAACGGTATTGTAATCAACGCATGCATGCGTGCATGCTGTCCAACTATAGCGTGTTGGCCTCTACTTTCCGACACGACACGACAAAACGTCAAATGGCCATCCTTGTTTCAACCTACACATACATAATACACCGAGATTCGGGCAACGCCCAACAACCGACAGGAATACTTTTATGCATTTCCAATGACAGACTAAAGTAGTACCGCGAAAAGGAACAACGATATTGAACGCCGTCCGCTTGGCCCATCATGGGCGAAGGCCACAAGTAAGTTACAAAGAATCTTAAAAGACGAACAAAACACGATTGATTCCCTCGTGGTTCACCTCGGCTGGAGCCGGAACCCTCGAAAAGCACCAACAACTTGGAAGGCAGCTCCAACAGAATCTCACCCAAACCATCTTCACCGGCTTCTCTACCGCATCAATGAAGGCCAAGTCTTCCGGGTCAACCCCAGTGCGATGGAGGCAGGGTGATAGGAGAGCTTTCCACGCGGTCTCGCACCCTCATCTTGGAGGTCTCGCTCGAGAAGAGCCCGGGGTTGCTGCTCGAGCTCCGCTTGCTCAACCCGCTGGTGTTTCGCAAGGCACCACCACTTCTGTTTGATGCTCTTGTTGCAGCGTGTCCCGAGGAGCGGGCTCGTCGAGAACTCCCTTCAGAGACGGAGGCCCCGGATCGGAGCGAGGTGGCTCGCTCGTCAATACTCCTCGTCCCCAGCACACCGTACAGGACGATGGTGTCGAGGGCGACGCGGACGTAACGAAACGCCCAGGTGATGACCAAGAGCAGTTGTCTGTGATACATACCACGAACGGGGTAGGAGAGGGATGCGGATCGTCGGGGGTTGCGGGGGTTGCCTGTGGTTCGACGTGTCGGCAATGTTTCCACTCTCGAAACAACAATGACAAAAGCAACGCCAACAAGACGAGTATATAGAAGGGAACGCTATGTGTGTGCCACCTTTGATGTGTTGGAGTTGATCAGAGCGTTCGGGCTTTGATGCGAGGCAAAAGTAGGCCTGCCGTGTGACAGTCAAGAGGTCAGGCTATACCATAACAAATCGATCGAACGTTGTCATCTTGAACAGATCGCTGTCACTCCACTACGAAACGCCGCCGACCGAGCAGTCTGCAATACAAAAGCAACAACAACACACCTACGGCAGTCCCGGTACCTGTGATCGCGAGTAGCCACATGTGAACCCTTCACTCGGGGGAAAGGATCCCATCCCCACACCTTATCACATCAACATTAAAATTGTGGCTTGGTAACATCATAATGTAAGGGCAGTATTGACCTCCCCACCCCAGCCCCATGACACAATTTCCCAACGCCCCCCCATCCCCCCCCCCTCTTCACCCCCCCGACACACGCCCCCGGCCATGTTTGCCATCGGGGTTGAGTTTTCGTCGCTTGGCAACGACGTTGTAAAACAAGCCGCCGCCCCCGGTGTTTGCTATCGGGGTTGGGTTTTCGTCGCTTGGCAGCGATGTTGTCAAACAAGCCGATCATTTCGTGAGCTCAGCAACCAGGGTACCGCTTTTTTTTGCCTTTTTTTTGTTTTTGTTGCGGTAATCATGAATGGTGGTCGAGTAGATCATGTTGTGCGGGATCGAGAACCCTCATTCTGCGCAAAGGAGATACTCGCGCGTTGTGTTAAATTGGTCAAGCACCTTCGAGGCAGTTACACTGTGCTTGCAACTGTCTCTGGAAGTGAAAGCACCAGAAAATAAATTAAGTCATACACAGCTGTCATCATCCGTGCGCAAGGAAGTAAGCACAAGATCCCGAACACCCTTCGCAGGATGCAGCGCACCCTTCATGCGACTCGCCGAATACCTCACGGCGCTTCGCGCTTGGTGATGTGAGAGCCTGGTCCGGTGAGAACCCGGCGTGCTCCGTCCCTGCTTTGTAGGGATGCGAGGTCAATGGTCTAACGACTACGGCATGCACGACTATGAGTACCCCCCACCGCCACCGCAACGACATCCCAGAATTTCTGTTCAGTGACCCTAAGCTGCCTGCGCTGAACCGCAATCCACTCGATTCCCCAGTCGTACTCGGAGTGAGCTGCCAAAACAAGCACATGGTGTACTAGAACGTCTCGGTCTTGGCTATAAAACCCGGGTCAATCACGGTGAACCACCCCCCATTCCCGGGGAAACATGAACGGCCACAGAATGAAACACCATTGGCGGTGCCGTTCAAATGCTTTCAAGGTTCTCGTATGTCTCCGAGACCGAGGGGGTCGCTCTGCTTGCTTGCTGTGTTGTCGCGAGAGACTTGTCAAAGGGTTAAGCAAGGCCGACGTTTAAGGAAGGCCGACGTTTTGTCGATACAATTGACCAGTCGTGGCTCACTCTTTCATGTCGCCGACGACGTAGATCGTGCCGCAAATGCCGAGAGCTAGATTCACCCCCGTGGCGATGAGGGTCAAGCCGAAGTAGTAGCGGATGCGGGCGTGCATCTTCCAGCTTTGCTTGATCTCCGTCCTCCGGAAAATCACCAGCCAAACGACAATAACGAGCATACAGATCCCGACGAAGAACTCGACAAAGAAGCCCGCAACGACGATCCAATCGTGGGCTGCCTGCATCGCCGGAAAATGGGGTTTCGGAAACGGCATAGCAAGAGTGAAAGACGAAAATACGTGAGAACGGACTAAGAGACACTTGAGCGAGAAACACACTCGTGTTCTTTTGAAGCGGACGTCAAAGCGCGCAGAACGGTCTTGCAGCTGCTTCTAAACATTCGAGAGCGATACGGTCTCCCTTGCCCCTAATCACAAGTCATCTGATGATTGTATCAACGATAGCTGGATGCCGGGATGCCCGCCAAAGATGCTGCGAGTCGAAAGACACCGAATGAATGAGAGTTTACTTCCGGGGCGCAAATAAGGACTGGCCGGATTTCAGAATCCCTTCAGTGGGACCCCTGAAGTCCGGTAAAGAATGTCAAATGTCGAAACAGCTGCGGTAAGAGGGTCGCCTCATCTTACAATTTCGGGTAGAGCGAGCCACACCCTTGATACTCCACATGTTAGCGGTAGAGCGTGTACCTGGAAGACCACGTAGAGGTATATAAGCCTTTATGGGCGCGTCCTACAAGTTTTAAGTACATCGCCGTACGGTCTCCCAAACAGGACTAAACGTTTGCTTCTAAAAGTGCACGATTTCACCCAAACAGTGCACCCTCCTACCGCAGCATCACTCAAACGTCGAAACAGCTACTGGGAGTACTCAGCAGGGTGTAGTACTAAATTCTTGTCGCAGCAGTCGGCCGTACAAAAAGCGCCAAGTGTTCATGTTGGTTCTCCGAACCAGACCCAGCAAGTGAGGGCAACATGAAACCCCAAGGCTACAAAAGTTCAAGCCCGCACCTGCTCATGGGTCTGCACCCAGAATGCTGTCCCGCTAACTACCATCTCCGTCCAGAAGGGAACCGAGATTGCTGCGACTCCCAACGACAGGGCTAGGAAGACGAGTATCAGCGCCGGGGTGCTGGCACTTCTGACGCGCGACAAAGTTCGATGAGACTGCAGGCACGCACACGGCAAAGACCGGGAGGGGGGGGGGGGGGGGGGGATATTCTTACGTTTTGCATGCCGTAGCGGTGATACCATTGACCACGCGTCCTTGAGAGGACGGAGCATTGTTCCGACAGGAACGATCACCGATGGCCAATCGTTCCTTCCTACTTTGCCAAAGGTGCCTCAAAATGGCTTCCCTATTGTAGTCTATCTATATCGATGTCGCTTCCCGCCTTTTCAATCCTTTTCCTCTGCCCCAGTACAGCAACCGTCTTCTCCTGGCTACTTCATGCCTCAAACATGTCCCTGTATGATACCTTCCTTCTATTTTTCCCAGCTCAGTCATGTACACATGAACACTCCCCTCTCCTTCTTGTACACCTCTCCTTCGTGTACAACGGACATTCCGCAACTACATGAAAGACCGGGGGGGGGGAGCCGAAGTATCACCGCCAGCATGATCAACTAAGCCTGGCCACGGAGGGTACACAGCCGCAAAGACGCGCGTCTGCACATGCACGAAACCTTGAGGGCAGTTGTTTCTGGTGCCTGGCGCACTATCAAAAGCACGCCTACTGTGCCCCACAAAACGAGAGCGCAATCGTTTCTGGTGCTTGGCGCAAAATCGGTAGGAAGTCTGTCTGGCGCCACAATCAAAAAGTCTTTGCTGCAGTACCTGCATAAAACCATTTGTTATCGCTTAGCACGCGCAGTGGTACACTGACCATGACGATGAGGGCGAGGTTGACGCAGATGGCGAGGTTGGTGATGGCCAGCATGTTCGACGCAGCTAGCTCGAAGAACTTCAAAGTCTTGATGAGCTTCGTGAGGCTGTCTCCAGCCCAGCAGACCGATACCATAGTCGCCTCGGTCATGAAAACCAACTGGTGCAGCAGGCCACTGGATGCACATAACAGTTTCCAAGCACGAGGAGGGGAGCGAGAGAGAGCATAGTCAGCGCATATGATCGCAGCACTCCAACAACACAACGGTCAAATCATAGACCGCAGCCTAACGGATGTGATCGCCAACGACATTGTGATATACCTCGTGGAATAAAAATGTTCATTCTCATGTGCATTTTATTCAGCGGTCGGGTGTTGTCACTGGGGTGGGCAACTTGGTTCCATCGGAGGCACCCCGCCAGACTCATCAGGGGAACGTGTCCTACGGCGCGCGTCCTGGCAACAGAAAGAAGAGCTGACTTGGTGAGCGTGCAACACCCCTTTTTCAGAACTCCGAATTGACCATCGTCCCGAATGTGAACGTGAGAGGGCCCCACGGAAGGAGGAAGGTATCCACTTGGCGGAGGGGACACGACTCAAGCGAAATCTCGTTCGTCAAGCTTGTGTGCAAACGTGCGCTGGTCTGGACAACAACGTGGCCGTCTAAGTACTCCCATCCTTTTGGCTCGTACGTTCGTTCCTATCGTGTAGCACGCAAGTTTTCGTGGCCAGACCCCGCGAAACAAGGTAACTTGAAAGTCAATCAACGTGTCTCTCGAGCAAAGAGTACGAGACGAGAACTTTCATAGGGCAATGTCAGCGGCCGTGGCGAGACCGAAGATCGAAGTGGTTGTGCGTCGGCTGCATGGGGGGCAAACGAAGCGACAAGATACTTGGCGAAGGTTGAGCGGCAAGACAGCCAACTCCAAAGCAAAAACAGGTACATTGTACTGCTGTCATCCGGTGCCAAAGTCAGGGGTAGAGCGCAAACAAGAATGGTAAACGTCGGTGTCTGCTTTTGGAGAGAGCGAACAGTATTCTGCAAAGAACAAGCTAGCCCACGCGTTTCGTGTGGACATCGTTAACCCTTCTTGGTTTTGGGGCACCAACACCTGCGCAGTTGCATTCGTTCGCCGCAAAACACTCAATTCTATTGTTCCCTTATTATTGGCTTTGGGTAAGAAATTGCACGCATAGCATGCGCTGCTGTGTCTGCCGTTGCCTTCACGTTTGAATTAGTTCCGGAAGTATTTCCAGGAGCTATTTCCAGTACAGCAGTACGTTGGACTATACTCCTGGAGATATCAAGAAACAAACCTAACTGCAGATAATTTCCGTTGAGACGTCTTCTATGAGACTTTTCACCGTGCTCGAGTTCACACGGGCTCGCCCCTCCCCGGGGCGTGCTATATTTCAACACTGCCCCCTCACCCCGGCAACCTTCGAAGCAGGTTACGATTGTACCCGGGAACATATCATACGAACGAACATGAACCATGGCACACTGAACGGAGGTTTGTAGGTTTTTCGCGTGGGTACAATTTTAGTTTGCCTTCAGCAGTGAGGCCGCGGCTGCTGCTGTGCCAAAGTTATCGGAACCTCAACTTGTCGATTTCAACCCCACTCTAAATACAGCCTTGCGACACATGTGGTACGCAACAAGACTACCAGTAAACACTTCTCGCTGGGATATCATGGTTCTTCCTCTGCGCCTTGAGCATCGGCCCAACGCCTATTTCGTGAATCCCTCCCCGATGCATCATGCATAGACTTCCCACCCAGACGATTTCTACAATACACAAACAACATTTGACAGGTTTGTTGGCTGTTTTCTCCTTGAGTACTGCAGCAGTAGGTCTACATAGGCACGGAGTGTTGGTCCCGAGCATGGAATCATTACTGTGGAGGAGGATCGAATATCGCGTTCTCACGCACCAGCCTTTGTTATCGTGCTGTTGTGGCATTCAGAGCCTCATGGATGTATGTAACGTTCTTCATGTGGGTGAAGATGCTACTCCGTTCGCTGGCTCATCGTATCTCATGGCCTGCGATGTGGACTTCGAGCCAGTGCATGCATTTGCACCGGCCAACGAAAGAGTAGTCAACAACACATGAAAGAACTCCTGGATGACCGCACCTGAGCCAGTGACTGAAGAACAGGAGGAGCTTCTTGATCGACTTGCGCCGGCTGAACCACGCCGAGGCCACGGACATTGTGATCAGGGTGCTGATGACCCTGATGGGGGTGCACACCGCCTCGCCCTCCTGGAGGCCCACGACGAAGAATCCCGCATTACACTTGAGAGAGAACATTTCGGCATAAAGCGCAGCTTGCGCGGCTTGACTTGAGTACTCTGTCGATCCATACCCTCCCAGAGAAGACGACGTCATGTGTAGTCAGTCTACTGCTGTACTCTGGAAGATCTTAGCAGAGAGACGCCAGCCTACGATGTATCGGGTGGTGCGCGGTTTACCCGGTGGGTGCCGTGAAACTCTGTGCTCTGGTCCTTGAGACGACGGAGAGCAAGGGGGGAAGTTGTGGGTGGGTAAAATCCTGTGCCATGATATGGAAGGACGGAATAGACAAATTTTAGCGGGCCTCAAATCTGCACAAGTAAAGAGCCACGCCGCATGACGAACGAAGACTATCGACTATCGACACCAGTTTTCAGTTTTCAAGTTCACGAGGAAGGCCTTTTACTCCCCGGCGAACCGATATATCTCTCCTGGTGTGCAGATGATGTCGAGCCTACCGCTTGCACGTGCCACGCCTAGGTTTGAGACCAAGAGGATATCGGCGACATTGTACATTGGTATGCTTACGGCGGCCGTAGCATGCATGGTTCGTGGAGAACGTAAAACGGATCGAGGATTGCACGGCAGATTTCGGCAGATAGTGTGTGTTGACAGTGGACGAAATACTTACAGATACTTCCGTTCGGCGAGAGTATACCGATCGCCGAGAGCACCACCGAGGCGTAAGACCGCGGGGCAGGCTCAAAACTCTATGGCGCAAAGTTGACAACGCGGGAGGCGGCCTACGTAGGCTGGGTCGCGGCAAAGGAGGCGCCCACTTCATGATCGCAGTCCCTGTGTGGGACAATCCCAACCAACCTCGTGCAACTCTGGTCAATCCCAACATGAGGGCCCCCTTGACTCGCCGCTGTGTTGTCGGTATGCATATGCATTAGTTGCGTTATTGTGGCTTTGTTGCTGGTTGTGTCGTGCAGCTTCGTGGTCTTCTCGCTTCTGTGGTGCTACCGCTCCAACTCCACATCGTCCCATGCCTGTCCTTGTCCGTGCTGCAGCGTTAAAGTGCGTTTTTCGACCTCAACACCGATGTAGAGCTATGCATTCCATCTGCAAGGTAAGTCCCGAACGGTATGCAATTGTACAAATGCGGAGCTTCTGCAGCAACAGCGACTTGGTTTGGTTTGCAGTTGGCAGCAGCTGTACCAGTCTGTTGGTCTGATGTATGCCACTGCTCCTGCTGCCATCGCAAAAACATGATAGATACATGCGTGTGATCTGCACGTACGAAGCGGAACCAGCTGAGACGCGCCAGGGCTGACTGATGATCTATCGCTCCCCTTCCCGCTGGTAACTCCACAGCAGCGGGACAGAACGCTGTATCATCACCGTCCACGACCCACGACTACAGCTATGCCTACAACTCGCTCGCTGTCATCGACAGCAACAGGAGGAGAAGCAGCCGGCGATCTGCCGGCCCTACTAGCTAGAGTCGCAGCCGGTGACCTCTCTCCGGCAACAGCGGCGTCCCAGCTCGCCCCGCTGCTGGTGTCGGGCGGGGCTCAGGCAGAGGACGTCGGCGGGTTCGCGAAGATCGACCACGACCGGCGAAGGCGGGTCGGCTTTCCCGAGGTCGTGTTCGGCGACGGCAAGTCCGCCGAGCAGATCACCGACATCCTCGCGGCCATGATCCGGGAAGCAAGGGCTGGCAGCCGTGTCGCGGCCGAAGCAGCAGCTGTACATGCAGCAGCAGGAAATGCAGCAGCAGCGGATGACGACGGGGATGCCACTGGTGGTGGTGGTAGCCCGGTCGTTGCCACGAGAGTATCTCCGGAGAAGTGGTTGGTCATCTCGGACGCCCTCCCCGGGCAGCTGACCTACCACGCCGATGCTCGAATCGTGTCGTTCGGAGAACCGCCGCAGCGCCGCCGTGCGGCGGGAGACGGGGCTCCGGGGGGCTCGATAGCGACCAGTATTAGTATTGGGACGGTGGCGGTGCTGAGCGCCGGGACGTCGGACCTTGCCGTCGCAGAAGAAGCAGCCGTATTGGCGGAGCTGGCCGGGGCAGAGGTAAGGAGTACAGCGTGGTCCCGTATGCTGACCTGTGCCAATCGTGGGATTCTCGTTCAGATGATCGTCTCGACCAGCACCATGAATGATGCAGCAGTCCAAGAGGTAACCTACTTCTCTTGCTAAATAACGTAAATAGGACCTCACGCCGGATGCCTGCCTGCTGTCATAACCGGTATGCGGCTTGTTGGAGAGTTTTATGGCCTACAGGCATCGCCGTTATTTCTCGATCTTGCCCACTCACGTAGAAAAAAAAAAGTAAAACAAACACGGGATTGCTGAGCAGCACTCGGCGATTGAGAAAATGCCGCGGTGACTAACGCCCGGGACGGGTTATTGTACTTCGTTTAGGTACGGTCCCTCAACTCTGCCAGCAGTTTTGCTAAGTGCAGTAGCGAAACGCATGCACGGCCATGTTTGTTGCAAACCCGGTGCCATGTGAATGTTGCTGACGGCAGCAGCAGCAGCAGCAGGGAGGGATGATAGCAGTAGCAGACACGCAGCAAATCCACACGGAGATGTGCGTGGGGGTGGCACTGCTGCTGCAGGAAACGGAGGCACAACCCTCGTCCATGTATTGTTTGATGGTATGCATACGCGTGTTTTCGTCGACATCTCATCAAGGTTCAATAGGAAATGGCTGGTATCCGAGAGAGCCAGCAGGCCACTCCCGTCAGTCAGACAACCACTACAACCACAAGGTGTTGGTTGTTGACCCTGATACCCACGCCCGAGGTACACTACCTCTGAAGCGTTTTGAGGGATATCCGCCGGTGTCGATGTTATCAAGGTCGATGGAGGGCGCCAAGACGTTGGGTAGAGATCCCGAAAGCGTAGTCCGACAATGCGCTACTTTGGCGATGCTTGTAATCCCATGAGAGTCGCGGTCTTTTTTCTCTTGTGCGGCCGCTGGCCTGCCCTGAAAATGCGGTGTGTTTGTTGTCTATCGTAGAGTCTAGCCGGTCCAGTCGCCTCTGCCCTGCAGAAACGATACAGCGTGATGTTTCACAGCCACATACTTCCATTTGTAATGGGCGATGGCTGTTACAAGGGCCGTTCCCCTCTATTGAGACTAGAGTAGCTGCCACTCGCTACTGAACCCCCCCCTCGCCCCCGTTTTCGCGTATTCCTGACGTCCTTGTCTACCCTCTGTCTCTTTTTCGCGATCTCCATGCTTTTCTATCACTACGCGAAGAAGTATGTCCCTTGCACTATTTTCGTTATCTCTGTCGTTCTCTCATCTCGTCTCTCTCTCCCTCCCCCCCTCCCCTCTCTCTCTCTCCCTCTCTCTCCCACACACACACTCTCCAGGTGTCCCGTTTCCACGACGTAGGTGTGGCAGGCATACACCGGCTACTCGGCGCAATCCCGTCCGTGCAGAAGGCGGGGGTGGCCATCTGCGTTGCCGGAATGGACGGCGCGATGCCGGGGGTAGTGGCCGGGTTGGTCAAGTGCCCCGTCGTGGCTGTGCCTACCAGCGTCGGGTACGGAGCAGCCATGTCAGGCCTTGCCCCTTTGCTAACGATGCTCAACGCATGCGCGCCGGGGGTATCGGTGGTGAACATCGACAACGGGTTCGGGGCTGCCGCCTTCGCCGTGAAGCTGCTCAAGAGCAGCAAGGTCGCTACTGCAACGCGGGAGACGCAGCAATGACCACTGCTGTGGGTCTTTTGGTTGACTTTTTTTTGCGTGTGCCGAAGGACTTTGGCGGAAGCGGAAGGCAGGATGGCCAGGGAAGGCGGTAGGGTAGCAGGAGCCAACCCAGTTGTTTCGTTACCAATGGTGTTTTGTACTAGGGAAGAGCGTGTATTTGCAATGTTTTAGCGCAGGCGTTCCTCTTCCCGTAGGCGTTACCCGTTCCGCGGCGGCTGTTGGGCTAAGACGGGATTGTGTACAGTTTTAGAGCCCTGCATTGACGTATCCCGATATTTCGCTTCGTCTGGGCTTAGATGTATGTTGGATTTTCAGGATTTTCCGTCTTTGCCTATATGGCGGTGCAATTCACGGGTGGCGTGGTGGGGAGCTGGTCTCACGCTGCATTTCCTCAGGATGATGCCTTGCGTTGTGACGATGTGATGTTTTTCGTGGTGCGCGAATACTCAGCGCGGACGGGGTTGAAATGTGTTTCTTATATCTCTTGTAACGTCTTGCAAGCTACCTGGGAGATCGCATCCTATCGAACATCGGTGGCAAATCGTGAATTATCGGCTAGCAGCGGCAATTCCGCGGTCCCAACGGATGTGGGGCTTCTATGTAGGTACTGTGTCGTGTCTGCATTCGAACAGTTGTAACGGTACGCGCTACCATGAGTGGATGGAGTGCGTCTGGATTTTGCGTCAAAAGGTTGTGTTTGAGGAATCGACGGATGAATTGCAGCTGTTCTACGAACACGTGCCTTTCTTGGTACGACGTGATGTTCTGCAGCCTACCCTTGTTTGTGAAGCATCGTGGCTTTCGGCGTGACGAAACCCACGTCCTATGGGGCGTCCCGAAAGAGTCTTGAAAAAGTTGATGAGTTGCAGGCCTGTACTCGAGGTTTTTGAATTTACCACGACCTCTGGTCTTTCTTGGGAAAATGAGTATTGATGGCGAAGGGGCTACGACTTGTCCCTCTCGGTGACACTCGAACGGCGTGATCATACGACACTGCTGTTTCTGGTTATCACCATTACTTGCCTAGTCTCGAATTCCGAGAACACGGTGTCCTTGCCTATACATCCGAAGCAGAACCACGAAAAATCGGATTATCAGCAGTGGTTGTCGTGCTGACTCCAGCTTGAATGTTGGATGATGCCCCAGTGGACACTCCGTCGCGCTAGCCAGCACTGCCGACGACGTAGCGAGTGCCGAAGACAACCCTGCAACCGTTGTGCACGAATTCCATAACCACTTTTGAGGTGTCATGACCTCTGGTCTCTTTACGCGTCGAGTAGCTCGGCCAAATGCTGCCCCAGTTGCTACCCCATTGAGTTGAGACCAGGACAGGCCGGGGGTAAGAGCCGGAAACGACAAGGGTATGGATCCCCAGTAGACACCGAGGAAACCGCAACAACTGAGAGCGGAGTGTGGCGACCCCACGCGTTTCGTCAAGGGTAAACGAGCTATAGAGGTCCTGGAAGACGTTCCCGGAAGACGTTCCCAACAGATCCAGCTTTTTCTCCTCTTGCGCGTTCCGCGTCGCCCCAGACATATCCTACATCGCCCGCTTAAGGGCCGAACTACCGTATGACGATGATGAAAAGCGGGCAAATATTGACCACCTGGCACGAGCAGCTGACGTTCGTCTGGCCAAAAGCTGTCGGTACTGTCACAAAACGACCAGGATTGACGGTGAAGCCCTTTCCATTATTTAGAACCCAGGTCGCAGCAAAGTAAGTCCTCTGTGGCTACCATTTTAGTCGTGTTGAAAGAGTACAAGACAATGAAGCCCTTCTTGGGAAAACTACGGAAGGGATACGAAAGAGCTCTGTAATCTCAAAGTTTACCTTCCTCTTCGTCCTCGTACGGGGGGCTTGCTCCCTTTCATTACTAACGCCGCTGCGCCCTTTGGCCCTTCAGCCTTAGCCCTACGATCACCTTCAACATCATCGGCACTAGAACCGCTGCCACCACTATCATCACCTTCGTCGCTTGCATCGCCCGACGAAACTTCGCAGGCAAGGCCACGTTCATGGTACTCCGCAACACCCGTCTCTTCCTCCTCCTTTTCCTCTTCCTCCTCCTCCTTCTCGTCGCCATGGTCATCCTCCTGCCGCTCCTCTCTATCGTCCACTATTTTTACCTCCCCCCCCTCCGTTTTAGCAACCTCTTTTTTACCCTCCAACGCTTTGCCCTTCTTGCACTCTTTGCCCAACTCTTTGCTCTCCCCCTTTTTCATGTGAAACGGTGGAACTTCAAGTGAAACGTTAAGCGCGATCGTTGCGGGTAAGGGCGGGGGCGTTGATGGCGATGGCGGTGTACTTTCTGACTCTACAGCCGACACTACCGGCTGCTGCAGAGGCTGCTGTAGAGGCTGCTGTAGAGGCTGCTGTAGAACTGTCTCCGAACGTTCGTTTTGCAGCAGGTGGAGGCGCGCCGCGCCATCAGGGCCTCCCTCAACCGCCCTCTCTAGATGCGCGATGTCGACTGATTGTTGTTCGCGGATGGCGGGGGGGCAGCGGTTGTGAGGGGTAGAGGGATCAGGTTTCCCGCCTCCCATTTCCAGCAAATCACATCAAACGAGGGCCACCGGGTGCGGGCCCAGAGCGTTCAACTGTGTTCCCGTCATTTCTGCTTCCGTGCACGATACAATAATGGCAAGCAGCACGATGTACTAGTTTTTCGATTCGAAAAAGCTCTTCCTGTGTTCATGGGCATTCTACTGTGTTGATGATACTTGTACCCGATGAATCTTGTACCAGCTGCTCATGTAGTCGACAAGATATGACATGTAGCAGTCTTTCGTTGAGAGCAAGGCATACCCTATGATAGGAAACTCCCCATCAAGGTGATAAGAGGCTATGTGTTCTGGCCCGTGCTGGCCTCGCTAGAACAACAACAACGACAACAACAACAACAGCAACAACAGCAACAACAGCAACAACAGCAACAGCAACGACAACGACAACGACCACGACAACGACAACATGACTATTCTCGTGTGCCGTGGCAAACTCACTCAGTTGTACGAGGCCGTGCTGTCGGCAAACGTCGCAAAAAGTGTCCTGCATCAGACGGCGTCCAGGACATCGATCGACATGCCCGTAGTGCGGTCGGTGGGATCCAGCAAATGTCATGAAATGGGGGGGGCGGCGAGTGACGACACCCCGATCGACGTCTACGCCGTTCCACAGGCACAAAACATGCGAACTTTGCAGTTTACTGTCTTCCACTAATTAGCCTAGGTATGTTTTCTGTTTCGAAGCAACGTCTATACAATTGTTTCTCGGGATGTGCTGCCAAACAGCGAACGGGGACTACTCTGTAGCACAAATGATTTGATGCGATGATAATGTTACCGTCCAGGGCTGATAATTGCTGAAGTGCACGGCATCAGCAACGACAGCATCAACGCAGCAAGAACATCCAAGAACAACATCAGCAACAACAACAACGACAACAAAGATCACAACAAAGGCAGCAAACAGCCGTCTACATTGTGTTATCCTACCTTCTCAATAGCGTAAGTGCCTTCTTTACCGGCAGTTAGCGCTTCCCGGAACATGCGCAGTGTTCGCCTCTCGCTGAAGTGGGGAGCGGCCCTATCAAGACAAGAGGGAACCGATAGTTCGTCCCAGGATCGAGACCAACGATTTGTCGGGTACAACGGAAGACGTAGAGACGTGCATAACAGCGGACGGCACAGATAGCCGTCGAAGTAGGTAAGGAGAGAATCAAACAAAATTGTCTGCACGCAAGAAGAGTCGGTGTTCGAGTTCGAGTTCGAGTATCATCGGGGCTCAAGGACGTGAGGACGAGTGCCGAGAACACCAAGCAGATGTTACGACGGGATTTTGTTACAGTGGTTTGCGTGGGGTCTTGGCCCTGCACGCCGTGTCCAATACCGGCTACAGCTATACAGCAGTACCCCGACGAAGAACGGGCTGCGAGGCCCAATGGGCACGGGAAGCCAGGCTCACCTTATATTTTATGTGTCGGGATTGATATATTTTTCAACACAACCGGAAAGTTTCAACGCCGGCCGAGAGGAAACCGGCCAACCGGAACCACCCCAAAATATTCGTTCCCGTCAACGAAGGCCGTCGAAAAAATATAGTCTGCCTCTTTGCAAGGGATAACGTTTGGGTTGGTGCAACGTTCATCACGACAATTGGTCCCAGTATCGGCCTTGGTGAGCATCAGGAGGAAGCTCTAGCAAGAACAGGAAGAAGCTCTAGCAAGAACAATAGAGAGCTCTAGCAAGAACAGGAGGAAGCTCTAGCAAGAACAGTTGAGAGAAACCTGAAACAAGCCGATCTCGGCATCAGCAGTGGTATGCATACGTCAGTTGAACGCTCCAGCCCAACCAAAGAAAACGAAATTAAACAAGTTGTTGATGGCGGGATCAGCGGTGGTGGGTGGTATCCGGCCGCCGTACCTGAGGATAATCCGGTTGAACTCTTCGAAGCTCAGCACACCGTCCCCGTTCTCATCCCCTTCCGTGAAGAGCACCTTCAGCCGGTGCTCGATAGAGTTCTGCCTTAACAGCATCACCTCCATCACCAGCTCAACGACCTAGCATTTGGTTTTCAAAAAGCGACAAGGCGCGTTCGCATCAGTTTGATACTCCTTAGCTCACTGCGAGGTCAAACCAAACATTGCTCTACGAGCCTAGCAACGACTGCCTGAAATCGTTGCCTCCAAGAAGAAACGGGTCTCTCCTTCTCGCAATCGCAGCTATATTGTCATAACACGTCCCACCTGCCTCTACGCAATGTAGGTAGGACACTTTACAAAAACCTCATTTTCCCCTTACCCTTACGCAGGATGTGCACACGGCTATCCGTTCCTGGTCCATGTCGAAACAGCAACATCCATCTACTTCACCAGACACACCCCTTTCCAACGCGAACACCACCGCAAAAACGACGAGACCACGCGGCACGTGTTGGCAGACACCGTCCGGTTCACTCTCGCAAACCACGACACGCCCTCACTCGATCCATGTCGATGATGATGCGGGCGTCGTGCAGGGCAGCGTCCCCGGTGACCACACCGCCTACGCCGCAGCCCTCCTCGTAGTAGCCACGGATGCCGCCCATCGTCTCCGTGATGCCGGCCCCGCCTATCCCAGCGCCTGAAGCACCCTCGCTCGACTCCACGGCGGCGATGGTCTTGCGCATGGCGGAGCGGATGAACGAATGGCTCGCCTGGCCGCACGCACAAACTTGGATGTAGCCGCCAATAACTTGAAAATTTCGCTATTATTCAATTATTCCGCGGGGCCTCCATGTCGGGGCGTTGTACGTTTGATGCCGATTGTGGGTTTCCGAGATTTTCAACCATTCGACGACTGATTTCTCATTGGCTGGTTGGCGGCGGCTTATTGAGTCAGGGCTGCATTGGTCCCACACGCGTTACGGTCCCGGACGACAATTACTGTGCAATGTTGTGTCGTTCGTTTTCAGCATGGATGATGCGGTGGAAACATTTCTTGCGTGTCTCCTTGGAATGATCGGATCGCGTACAGCGTGCACAACACGTTCCCCACGTGTGAGAAACAATGTCGACGTTCACCTACGGCGCGTTGTGGCAAGCGTACCGCGGTCTACTCTTCGCAAGGGTGCAAGGGCACCAAGGTGCCTGCTCAAGATGCCCCGAAGTGATCTTTCCCACGGGACAAGGCACGTGGTCGGTGGTGTGGTGCGGACAGAGGATGTCTCCAGAGCCTTTGAGCACGAAACGACTACCAACGCGCGTGCTAAACGTATACGCGTATACGGCACGGCGTTAGTTAGGCTCCACGGTGGCACCAAACCAGCAGCCGATCGTCCCGATCCAAGACCGAGATCACCCTACTCGCTAACGTAGGCCGGGCTGGTCGAACGCACCTCGACTCCAGTGATATGGCCTCTCGACGTCAGTAGAGCCGCGGTTCTCTCGATGGACCTCATGTAGGCGTGTCTCTTGGCCGGGGGGCACCAGTGCAGGACTACCGTCAGGACACGAACGGCCATCTCCATCGAAACCTGCAGCATTGGTGTGTGTGTGTGTGTGTATTCTCGTGAGCAGATGGGAACGTTTCGATGTCACCGACCCCAACATAATCTCCTATTGATGTTTCACTACTTGTTACAATTGCAGAGATTGGGCATTGCTCTACAATTAGGGCATCTTCACTCAAACCCATCGTATCGAACAGATGAAGGAAAGCGCAGCCCTACCGTCCTGATGTTTCGACCTCCAAAGACCTAAGAGCCTAGTGCGCGACCCACGCAATCTGTATGTATGCGGATGCGAACCCACCCAAAAAGTGCAGTTGTCTTCTGTGAGGACGTGCTTCGGGAGGTCGATAGCCGGTACCTCGCACTCCCCGGCGACGGCCTTGTCGTGTCCCTCTTCGGACAAGCCCGATGGGGATTCTCTCTTGCTGCCCGAACCCTTGTCCTTCTTCGCGCCGCCGTGCTGTCCGCCGTGACTCGCGCTGCTCCCGCTAGACCGCTTGGGCGCCTTGTGCTTGTGCTTGCCTTTGCCGGGTGTGGGAGACACGCTCTTGTCGCGGTCGGCGAGGCCCCCGGCCGTACCGGAACCCCGGTGGTTGTGAGTGCCGGTCGTCGTCGCCGATGTTTTCGTCGTCACTGTCGGTGATGTGGTCCCCGAGTTGTTGCTGTGGCTCTTGCCCGCGGCGGTGTCTCCCGAACCCGACCCACCTACTGGCGGGTGTGACTCGCCAAGGCCGGTCGCGGTTGGGGTTCCCCGCGTGTGCTGGGCCGCTTCTTCCCTCGCCGACGGATCGTGTAGGTCGGTCGTGTCAATCGTGCTACAACCGTGCGCGGAGTTGGGGTTGGCATCGAGACGAGTCGAGGCAGCAGCGGCGGAGGTGTCCGGTTGGCAGTCCACCGCCGTTTCCAGGTCGTTGCTTGGAATGACTGCTGCGGACTCGTCTGACGATACTTTTGTCCCAGCTTCTTTGAATGCGCTTGCCGCGGCCTCCTGCATCCGCCAACGAGAAGCGGCGCTGCACCACCAGAAGAAGCGAAGAAAAGGGGGATGACTTCTGAATGGGGGAGAAAACTTGGGTCTGGAAAGAAGGGACGGCCGAGCTGAAGCAGGCAATATGCATTTCATTCTCGAAATGTCTCCGTGCAAAGGTGTAAGCAGGCTCGAATGAATCCATTGTCCAGCAGGGTTTCCTCAACACTCACTGTAAAGACTTCAATACATCCCTTCGATTGGAGAAATTTCTGGAACGGCGGAACATTCTGTGAATATATGTGCATTGTCTGAGAGGGTGACCAACAATAGCGTCTTCACAAAGCTTAGTGTCCTCACAATTCGATGAACTATTGTATCACCCTGCCGGGTACAACAACATGTTACGTTAGCTTTGTGATGAAAAAAGCACCTCACGGCCACAATACCTACGACAGAGGAGACGCGAGGGTGCTGTGAAATATGTGATATTTTGGTATGCCACACACCCAAGGTCAGTGATTTCGGAGAGCAGTTTGTTGCTGTTGTACCCGCTGCTGTTTTCTTGTGCCTCTGTCTGGTCATTGGGTCAATGGTGACCATGAGTCGCGTGCTTTTCGAACCTCCACGACTGAATATTGTACAGCTTGCGACTAGTCAAGCTCCTCTCCCCTTTGGGTGAACAAGGTTCTAACGCTGGAAATGCTGATGATGAGAACAGAAAACGCCGCAGAAAGCAAGGGCAAACACCGACAAGGGTGTTGAGGACGCAAAAAAGCTCTCTTCTCGACCCCACCGTTATTATCTGATGTTCTCCGGCATTTCCAAATTCATGGCCTTGCCACGATAAGTGCGGCAGACGGGCCATTTTATCGATCATCAACGTCGATCTTTGAGGATCTTCGTCACCTCATAAAGCGCTGGCGTATCCTCTCAAGGCGCAGAGCCTTAAAGTCCACCTTAGCCCTCTTGAGCAAAATCCGCCTTGTGAAAGAAGTGTTAGTGTTGAAGTTTGGCGTGGGCCGTGCCCGCGGAGACATGATGCGCACGTTGCACCATTGCAGCACACGACCGAACAAAGCCCCCGCAAGAAACAGGGCAGTGAACAACTACAATCAGGATCACGCATTGGGCAGGAGTCGCACGACAACATTCAACCAACAACAACGCCAACAACAACACCAGGCGTGACGACTACCAATCCACAGGGATAAACCCATGAGCAGCAAGAAATGCTATGGAAGGGCATTGCAATAATAAGACATCAGCGGTGCATGCCTAGGTCATACAGGATTTCCTTCACTTTTCTCTCCCGGCGCACTTTGAATCGCGCACCCGTCTGCCACTTTCACGACGAGATCCCTGGTGACGCCCAACTCCAAGCTGCCATAACCCCACGGCCGTTGAACAGGAAAACAGGAACAACAGTAGAGAGTACGACATACTACTAGTCCTACCCGGCCCCAACAAGCCAACCTGGTGAATAGCAAAACCGGAATGTAGGCGGGGCCTAGCGGGGTCTTGTGCGGTTGCACTTCCTGCTCCAACAGCTCCTCTTCCCGTATGAAGTGCTCCCGCTTGTCCTGCCAATCAATCCAGAGAACAGCATCCAGTCACCACGATTGCCTCCAAAACGTAGTTCCGTGGGGTTAGGGTTCCTTTGCCAGAGAGCCAATGCGGTCGACACTGACGGAAAAATGAACGGGAAAATAAAACTGACGGTGCGCAACCAAATAAATCTCTAGACGACGGTACTATGTTGCAGGGCGAAACTTTTCAACTGAATCCGTGCGCGAGAACGGGCGGTCACACCAAACAGGAAGCCAGGCGGTCACACGCATACTGCTGTAGTTCTTCAATGCGCACCTTTAGGTTCTTCCCTTTGGAGTCGTGATCATGACCGGGCGCGCTGTGTGTGTAGCCATGGGCGTCAACGGTACTGTTGCTGCTGTTATTGTCGTTGAGGAGGTCCAGAAGGCGAGCGAAGGTGTGCACCGTTGCTGTCTTCTTGTAGTGCGTCTTTAGCTGCGAACGAGAGAGCGTCATCGAAAAAGACCTTTCAGCCATCAGCAGGAGAATACATCATCATCGAATCGGCGGGGCGATATCACTACGATAATAATATATATACCCCTTCAGACGCGCCGTTCGTTCCGACGCCGAACACGTGAGACTTCAGAAACGATAATGGACAAATCGAAACTATCACGTTTTGCTGGTATAGCTGTTTGTCAGCAACATGTCAATATATCCAATCAACACACGGTGAACATTGCGCGCGTGCGCATCTCCGGCTTGCGCGTGCACCGATATTTTGATCAGGCCAACATCGCCTTCCCTGCTGTAGGCTAGGTTTTGAGCAGCCTTCGGCAGGACGCCCGTTACACGATACCGTTGATCTCGGCGAGAGGCTACAGGCCCAAGACTGGAAGGACCTGCTCTGTGCGTCGACGACACAACACCTTGTGGCTTAGAATGACCTCATCCAAGCGGGTGCTCGTTTACTGAAGTGAGTAGGACTTTTCCTAGACAAGACGGCTGGTCGTTTACTGTTGAAGCAGCATCGATCCGGTGTGGAACATGACCTTGGCGAAGGCAACGCCTACATCCGCAGTCAAACATCTAGACTAATCTAGTGTAAAGACTATAGCACATACATACCGAGACCAAGAAGATGTAGAGCTTTAGCTCTGCGTCCTGACGAAGGCCATGCCGGCGGAGGAACAGCTCCACCATGAAGTCGTTCTGCGCCAGGAGAAAGTTAAGGGCTTGGGTGAGGGTACACGTTAGGAATGCACGATGACCCGGAATGATCTATAATAGGAGCTTCAGTAGGGTGGAAGCCTGGGGTAAGCTGGCGTCGTGAGGTTGCCGCCAGTAGTGCGACACGATAGACGGTGAACCGACGAAACGAGGGTTACCATTAGAGTTTCGAGATTTGTCCTAGCTTGAGCCTGGTGAAACAACGAAGATGGCGCGAACCACGAAGGTGAAGCCGAACACGTTGCGCGTCCATGTCGACTTGCGCCATGGGCTATGATGGAACCACGCAAGAAAATTTGCCGGGCGATACTGGAGAAAGAAAGCGTAGCGCCTGCGTATTTATGCCGTAGGCATTTGTCTGGCTGCATGCATGGTAACCATACGGGGGGTTTCCTGTGCTTCATACACAAGCGATTTCGTTCCAATGGTTATTCTTTTGATAGCCCCCACCTGTCTTCTCTTGATCTCGACCGCTGAACGCTAGATATTATCATAATGGACCCGAACCCTTTGGCGGCATGTACCGCAAGGGACTTTAGTGTGTACACGAACACCGAGTCGTAGATCCTCTGTAGAGATGGCGCGACCGGGAGATTGTGCGAGCGGCGGCCACGGATGGGGCTATAACTCGAATACGCCACCACCTGTGTCCACCGCGACTGTAGCGCAATCTCCCTCAAGTGCGGATGTGCCTTCTCTACTGAGGATCCACGATCCGGCGTTAGAGTACACGTTACAAGTCCCCTGCTGTACATGCCGCGGTGGAATTCGGGTCGATTTACGACGGTACTATTCATACCATATTTTGTGTTGGCTGCCCTTCTTGCTCGTCGATGGTATCGATGCGCTCTCTCTCGTCCAGGATCAGCCAGATCTCTCTGCAGACGTAGGGCAGACGTCCAGGCATGCATTTCACAGATAGACACGATATCCAGGGCGGCGCTAGAACCTTGCGAAAACAGCTGTTTATGAACAGAAATGAATGTCCACACGAAAAATCAGTTGCGGCATACAAGAATGCTTAAAACGAAAACCGACAGAAGGAAACACGAATCCTCCCGCATCCAGGACACATCGCCTTCGCATATCATAATTGGTTGCTAAGTCAAGCAGTCGGTGCGGCCGTAGTAAGTCGTCAAGCTCTTACGAAATGAAGTGAAAGACGTGTCCCCCTTCCCTGCCGCACGCGTCTGTTCCTAGTACTTTTTTCTTGCCTGGTGAGCCATCGAAGAGGCTTTATCGGAAGAGCCACCGCAGTCTTAGGCAGGTGGCACATGAATTCAACGAGCACGTTTGGCATGGCCCAGTTCCTGTCAAGGTTGCCTCTCTTCTTCTTGTTGTTCCTCTCCTGATGCATCAACGTGGGGTCCTCCTGCGAATACGTCGTTATGCTTTTTCGTTACCGTTTCTATTCTCTGTAAGCCCGATCTCTCAGGCTCGGGAATACGTACGCAGGCCTCTGTTCCCAAAACTTATGGCTACGGGAAAAGCAGCCCAGGAAGTATGCATGGGCTCGTGGCTTCCTGGACTCGGACGAACCAAAACGGCAACGCATATCATCGAAAACACGACCAAGTTGTCCTACCAGCAGAATAAGTTGGCTCGAAACCATCCCCTTCACAATCTATGACACGTTCTTTCGGAATATGCCAGGGTCGCACTACCGTAAACGACACCTGTTGGGGTCAGTGGTGGCAGGTCGCATTTCGAATACGACGGTACAACGGGCACGAGAATGATATGAAGAGGTGCGTTGCTAGACTCCGGGATAGACAGATGTGCACGAAAGACGTCTGGCACCTCCAACGGCCTAGCTCCTGGCGGGCTGGGACTGAGGTTGCGCTCGCAAGCGATGCCCGTAAAGAAGGGGATTGGCGTATCGACGCTGAATAGTAGAGCGAAAGCCCCAACCCGTCTACGACAGACGCTATTCAGCTCCTCGTACCTGTGCCCGGTCCTTGCAGGCCGCCAGCTTCCTGCTCTTTTTCTCTCCCTTCACCACAGTGGTGAAAGGGCCGAGCCCGTGACAAGATGGACACGACGCGAATCGCCGAAGCGCTTGCCATCGTATTCGCTGTAGCATATTCCTGCAGGCAGTCGGCGTGCGTAGGAAACGATGAGGAACTATGTCAATCATGCAATGAAGAGCTGGTGCCTCACAAGGTGGCATAGTTTTCTCCGCAACCCCGTCTGCACAGCTGCGTCGTCGTGCTCTCCTTTCGAAAGACCCAAGTACCCTGTGCGGGCCCGAATGAGATGTCATTTTCCACGGTTTGGTGAGTTGAGCTATGTACGCTCGGCTGGAGAACAACCAGATCTCAAACTAATCTTGCATGAGTTTGGTACATACGCGAAACGCTGGCCAATAACGATTGTGGTACCCGCTCGCTCGCTTGGGAACCGCACACGAGAAGTGATCACGGTCAAGCCCAAGAAGAAAATGAAGGGAGAATACAAGAACACATAATGTTGTTTTGGAAGTATAGTAGCACTGCTGCAAAGGCAGCAACAAACGTTGCTGGAGGCTGCTGCTTCTAGGGGGTGCGCCGGGGGCATTGGCCAAAGGAATTGTCTGTGCATACGTCGACAAACAAACGACAACGGCATCAGTCATTCACCTGGAGACGTTTCTTGTGAGCCCGTCTTGGTAGTCCCACAGGCCGTCGTCGTTGACCATTGTCTGGCAAAAACTCTCGCTGGACTCCTTGATCAGTTTATATTTTCTATGTAGGGTGACGTCGGGGGGTAGCGAAGGGGCAGTCTTTGGGCTTGTTCTAAGGGGTCACAGCGCTAGTGCACGAGGATCGGTTGCCACTTGATGCATCTCAAGTCCCCCACCCCACCCTTGCCCAAGTCAATGTATGCCTGTTCACCAATCTCGACAACAAGCGGCGAAAACAATGGCATAGATGAACACGTCCCTTTTTGAGTATCCTCACGTTTCGTCCACCCTGTAAATCTGTCTGTTTATCGCCGCCGCCCTTTCGACCTTGGCCACGAGGTGCTCCATGGACCGCACGCCCATCTCGGACCTCGTCGCCTCCACTTCCACCTCCTTGAAGCGCGTACGAAGTGCCTGTTCTTCTTGCTGCCGCAAGCGGACCAAAAACAAAAGCACGAAGGCCTATCATGGTGGAGTGTGCATTGGCATCGTCGGTAGACTCGGCCTGCTTGCCACATTGTGGCTTACCCCAACCAAAAGGCGAAAAGTTCAAGAAAGTCGAAAATATCACATCTGCTTGACTCTGTTTCTAGACAGCCTTGGGGTATGCCAATCCTTCATCTCTGTGGGCAATCAAGGACTCTTCAGCATCATGTCATCCGGTGTTTCGTACGAGACCGTACGTTGCCGGTGCGTGAGTCCACCCGACGGTGCGTATTCACCGCCTTCACCTTCATCTCGTTCAAAAACTCGGCTTTCTTGTGCTCGGCGGCGAAGTGCTCCCGTCTCATGACGTTTTCCATCCTCGCGTGGGTTTCCACTTCTGCAGAAAGACTGGTCAGCTGAACCTCCTGAGTGGCAACCTTCAAGAAATATAGTAACCGGGTGACGCAGGATGGCCAAAACAAATGTGGATGGGATCAAATGCTGGGCACTTCCTGATCATCGGGGAAGAGTAAATTTGCCATCAAGACAGAATTGGGACAAGGATATAGCTCAGTTCCTCACCTCGCGAGCAGAGTATCAACGGTCAACGCACAGCGCAGCCGGCAAAAACTGCAAGTACCATCTCGTGCATCGAGTGGCACCAAGATCAACTCCTTACGAAAACCGCTCTCTTCAGCCGGGGCCTCCTATTCCGCCATAGTGCAATACCTCCGTATCCAAGGCTTTCTTCACCGCCAGCAGCGCCTCGAGCTGTATGGAATGCACCCCGGCCTCGTCCTTTAAGGCAGCCTCCGACTTATGTGCGCGTGCCAGCTCCCTCTGCAGCGACAGTTTCTCCGCTCGAAACGCCTAGAGTCAATACGCGCAGACGCAAGTAGCAATCAGCCACCAAGAGTCTCATCCAACGACACAGAGAACCTGCCTGCCTCACCAGAGAACCTGCTTGCCTTATCCAACTCGACGAATTCGTCCTTTCTACTTCGTCTGCAACAACTTTTCCAGCCGAGAGTTCAGGTTGATAGACTCCTTTGAAGTCGCCGAAAATACCTTGGCCTTCTCGCGCTGTAGTCGGAGCAACTCTGCCAGCATCTCCTCAAACAGCCGAAGGTATTCCTGCTGCGCAAGCCAAAGAGTGTTGGCCCTACTTCCTCTCACGGCATATTCGACCCCCTCATCCCCAGTTGACGAGCCCGAGGCCATCCCTCGACCCGACATGGCGATCAGCGAGGTGGACAGAGACTTGAGCCTAGAAATTACTTCCTTGACTTTAGGGTTGCGGCGAAGCCGGGCTAGTTGGTGCTCCCCAGAATCTTCAAGCAGTGATTCTTCTGACCTTTCCCCTTCTGAACCGTTGTCGGTGCTACCTCCGCCCGGAAACTTTCCTGTGACCTCACAAATGCGGTGCAACAGGTGTCCCTCAAAGTGGATGTTCTCGGCAGTAGGTACGGGTGTATTGTCGCTGGCGTAACTGCTTCCGTGACGGTAACGTCGTCCGTCTCCTTGTCGTTTCCTCTGTTCGTTCCTCCTCTCGTTTTTGTCCATCATGGCGGATCCATGCCCGAGACTAGTTGTTGTGGAACAACAACTCGACCCTTCATCGTCATCAGATCCTCTGTGGTCGGTGTGGTCGGTGCTCAAAGAGCCATAAGACCGCACAGACTCTACCTCATTCTGCTGCTGGTGCAGATGGCCGCTCTGATAGCTTTGGTGGTGGGCTTGTGCAACGTCGTTTCCATGGCTATCGTCACCTTGAACGGGCCAAACTGCTGTAGTCGCCCTATCTCGGGCGGGCAGAAAATTGAAAATGCCAGCCGAATCGGCTAGGAGCGGGCCAAACCTTCCGCAGAAAAAAATCAATGGCAAACCATTGCAAAATTGGGGTGAGACAGCGTCGATAAAATAAAAGGAAATGCATGACGGTGAGGTCGAGTCGCGGGTATGGTCTACGATTCAGTCAATGTTCCAACGAATGAGCTCGATAGACAGCATTGACCGATACTCACCTTCTGCTTTCCATAGAACCGTGGGTATTCGAACCGTGGCAAAACTCTGGATGAAAACTTGAGGAGCATGTCGAACACGAACTCAAGTCAACGAAGTCATATTTTTCCTCCGAGCCCGACGCCCCAGCTTTCTGCTGGCCCATTCTCCCGTCAATTTTCAGGAGCGCCAATCTCTCGGCGGAAATCTGTCCGATCTTGATCCTTCGTGCTTCAACCTGTTCGACAGCCCAGCATACGTATGTGGGTTGTGCTTGTGTAGTTGTCTTGCGGACCGCATTGCTGCAACAACATCATACATACCAATAGGTTTTTCATCAAAGAACGAGGATGACACCGCATGAGGCCTCAATGAATACGTGCAAGACCACCAGGGCTTGGGGGCCGATATTGGTCTTGGTCGCAATGTACGCTGCTGTCGACAGAAGAAGAAGGAGAAGTACCGGTATTTCGAAAGCAGAGACTTCCGACTACCGCTGTATGTAAGAATTCGTGGCAGTGATCTATTGTCATACAAATATGTGCTGTGAGAATCACGTTGAAGGTGTGCACCACTGATGCCGCACACGTGCGCGCTTCTCTGCCGTGCCTTCTGAAGGCAGCATCAGGTTCATGTCTACCGCTAAGCAGTGCAACTGCTCTGCCGAAAAAGGGCTCTCGCCGCTAGCATGCGTGGTGTCGCTGAAGGACAACACAGCACGCAAATCATATACTTGCGCACACACCTTTTCTCTCGCGAATGAGAGATTTGCCGGGTCGCTGAAGAAGGCCACCAAAAACTGGTCAAGCTCTCCCCTGGCGAGCGCACGTGAGAGCAGGCCGCGCCCATCTCCGCCTTTCACCGGATCCGAGAGCCTAGCGCACAAGGTCGACGCCAGGTAGAGGGCCTCATCCTTGAGATTGGCCACGTAAGCTGCGGCCCTCGGCGGTGGTTGCCGGGGTTGCTGCTGCGGAGAGTTTTTTGGTCGGTCATGCCCACGAGACGGTGACAGCGCAGGAAGATGCTTCGTTCGAGCCCGCAAGCCGTTGTTATAACGTTGCTTCCGTTTCGCCATGTCTCTATTTTAAAGGCCGTTGTTGCATTGGCCGACCACGCTGCGGTCAAGGTGGGTTGCGTGTGCATGTTTCTCGCTCTCTCGCTTGTCAACCCTCCTGCTCTCCTCCGGTGGGCGCGGTCGAATTTCATGTTTTCCCCGATACGAAACGTGACGAGAACCAAACCAGTTTTGATGCCCCACTCGATCCGCGGTGCCCCCACGAGATGCTTGCACGCTTGCACCCTCTGCGCGGCAGGCTGCGTGGGGAACTCTCCATCCCTGAAGTACCTGCAAAGCCACTGCTGCTATTGACGATGAACTCCTTGGGACTGGCGTGCATGAGGATATCCCGACTTTCTGCAAGGAGATGTCGCAACCAACGTTGCAGGTACGTTGTGGAGCGATGCTGAATCTCGACAACTGTTGCAGGTAGTTGTAGGTGACGCACCAACAGCTCTCGCCGCCAGGCGGTTGCAGCAGCAAGCTGGGCAGCAGTCTCCTCCATAGATGCACCCCTTCTTCCATGCCCCGTTGACACGTGTCATTCCCTTGCCGTCCCAGGTTGACCTCCGCCTCGAAGCCGTCTGCTCCAGCGTCCGCCGAAGCAGCCCACACTCCTGTAGATGTAGATGACACCCACTTTGGGTTCCAGCAGGTGAGACGTGAGATCTGAGGCCAGAGGAAGGCGATACATACCTACAGTACTGTAGGTCTCCGCTGTCTGTCCGAGAAGCGGAGAGATGGCACCCCTCATGGAACGAATTTCCAAGCTCGATTGTTCCACAACCAATGGGATGCGAAAGAGAGCCCGAGATGTCTATTCGGCAACCCCTCGACGACATGCTTCCTGTATGCCACCGCTGTTGGTGTTCGCACAATCTTGGTTATGGAGCAACCAAGCTTTGAAATTGGTCTGCTGTACTGCCGTAGGAGAGGTGCCTCCACCGCCTCTTGCGGCATTGCACGCATGTACTGCTGTAGGTGGTGGCATGCTGGTTACAGCGTGCTGGTTGCAGCGAGTATGTACCACCTACCCAACACGTCAACCGGCCCCTCGCCTTTGGCTTGATACCATTGAGGAGGTATCTGTGTAGATGCCTTGAACTCTCCTAAACAGTAGCCATTGCGGGGATCTTTTGCCCAAAATGCAAATGCAAGCAACATGCGCTTGGCGCTCCATTACGTGTAGACTATGCATACAGTATCCGAAACATTTTTTAGTCTCGTGTAAAAGGCCGGTTGGTGTGCATTGGTAGAAACTGTGGCCTGCCAAGCGACATCTGATTAAATGGAACAGCGGGAGGACCCTTACTCCTGATACCAACCCCGTGTCGCCCATCCCCTACATCCGGCGCTCAGACTGCTGCTGTCTACCTGACGAGCGAACACGGGGCACTCGCTTATTTGGAGCTGTTGTATTCGCTACTCTGAACAGGTTGCATGCATGTGTTGAAAATATCATGGACTGCGAGATATTCCCCCCAGCCCGGCAGCCGCAAACTCCCAGTTGCCGAATCGGTGCTTCCCTGTCCGCACCATGCGCTTCCCCCGCTTGTTGAACAGGTTCCCTCGGAAAAAAAGAAGGGCATGGTTAAAAGCGTCTTCACGAGCGTGGCCCACAACTACGACGTCATGAACGACCTCATGAGCGCAGGTGAGAGTGCACGCCCCACGTCGCTCGTTTTGGTACAGCTGCCGCATATTTCGCAGGGTTGGCGTTGTATGTACGGCGGACTGCAGTAGAGCACATCCAGCCGTTGTAAAGTTACGTTGGTCACGACTATCCAAGCACGTGCCGAGAACCACCAAGTCTGCGAGCAACAGCCGCCGTGACATCCTTCCTTCCCGCACGCCGAAGCTGCAGGTCCCCCCGCGTTGATTCTAGCCAGCTTAGCGGACTACTGAAACGCGTGGTGTCCACATGTTTTACCCCCGACGTTGTTGGAACCTCAGGGATGCACCGAATATGGAAGGATGAGTTTGTGGACATGCTGCGAATTTCGCCGGGTTTCGAAGCGGGTTCGCCGGCTCCGAAGGTGCTGGACGTGGCCGGGGGAACAGGAGACATTGCCTTCAGGTGAAAGCCGGTACTTTTCTGGCCGGTCATGCGTGCGCACACGAGTTAATCGCGCTGGTGTCACGTGTTTTACTGCCGCGTGTTTGTCATTGCCGCTTCGGGCAGGCCGTGTTGAACGGTTCTGCTTGCCATCTCTCATGTATCTCATGTATCCCATACGACCTGCGTGGTGCGGATGGCCACTATCACCTACCTCTAGGATCCGTACGGGCATAGTGGCAATGCTGGCCATAAGATAAAAATGTTTTCCGTGTGCAGGGCAGCGAAGGTCGCCTTGAGGGTGTTGAGGTTGTCCCCCCCCCCCCCCCCCCCCCCGCGCGCCCAGCACATGAGAAAAGAAGAGCACATTTTTCTACCAAAAACTTGCATTCAACTCGAGAGGACGAGACCGACCACCCATCCACTGGGACAGGGGCGGGGACTGGGGGGGGGGTGTTATCCCTCTCTCCGCAAGCAAACACATACTGAGCTATCTCTGCCCCCTAAACGGCCCTTCCCTCCCTTATTGCGCGTTCCATCTACTTGTGGGACTGGGCCTTGATCGCCTCCTGCTTGGCGCACCACTCCTTGGTGAGGCTGTACAGCAGCACGCCAGCGATGGCCATGAAGGAACCCACCGCCGCGAGCGGGGTGAGCTTGGACTTGAACACGATGATCGACGTCGCGATCAGGAACACGCGCTTGAACGTGTTGCCCACCGCGTGGGTCACGGGGTGCACGACTCCCAGGCACCGGAACGCCACCTCGTCTGAACGTTAGCGATTTCGGGAGGGGCACGCGAGAGGACGGGGGTGGCATTATATTAGGGGGATCCAACAGTCGGGCCGCGTAATCTCTTTCTGAGCGTTTTTCGATTTCAAGGTGGGTACGCATGCCGGAGGGGGGGGGGGGGGGGG